TTGCAATTTCAGGCGGGTAGTATGAGTCCATCTGGCCTTTTCTGGTAGCCGAACAGAGTATGCTGTCGCAAAACGATCAATGTGGGGAATCATTACTTAACGCGTGTTGTATTTTCTCTGTTTTCTCATAGCTGTGCCCTTAAGATATTTTACTCTGACCCCTCAATTAACCTCTAAGATGTATATGTTTCAGGATAACAGAGAAATTTCTTACAAAGAGGGAGAGTCATTGGCGTGCGTTTACCCGTCAGAGGTCGTGGCCAACTGTTTGATAGAGTTTCGAAGGAATGGAGCAAAATTGTTGAAACGTCATCTATCAACGTAGGTCTGGGGACCAATCATTATTTATTACGCCTGGGGGGGGGGAGGATCGAGGGAGTGATCAGCTGTCGCCAACAGACTATAAAGGAGGATCATTAGAGTATTACAAGACCTCACACGGGGAGTGGAATCAGGTGAATTTTGTCGTAACTCCGTTAAAATCTTCAAAACCCCCATTCCCCAGGCGACAGATAATGAGCGGTATCTTATATTATTCTATCAGTTATCTGGTGCAGCCAAATCTTTGGCGGCAAATGTCTTTATAAATTAGCACACGCTCAACCTTTGAGTATCTCTTGCTGCAATGCAAAGTTCGATGAAATTTGTCAGTCTCGAGTGGGAAATCAAGGAAAATAGATTGGGAACATCTCCGACTTTAAAGGCAGTAATGCTCAACTTTTTATGATTTTCTAAACGTGGGTCTCTGGACTGGAGTTTCACGCGCTAGAGAGAAAATATGTGGTTGTACCCTCCCCCGTCAAGGTGAAAGGGAAGGAGTGAACGTCTACGTTACCTTGCCTCTGTTTCACCTTTGCGGGGAAAAGTACAGCTACACTTAAGCTAGTTGTATGTAGGCCCACATAAATTGCACTTGCATAATTTTTGCATAATTTAGAAAACGCGCATAAAGTTTGGTCTTTTACAAAAAGTAGCATTGCTAGCATTATCAGCATATTTTCATTTTTTTTATTTTTTTTGAAGAGAACATTACCAAAGTCATGACTTGTTTGGTCTCTAAGACTGACTGTTTGCGAGTTCGTTCCACAATAACTATTCGAAGTCGTTCGTCCTCTAGAGGACTGGGCACAACAGTCCTAGTTCCCGCTTTTACTGAAATAATAAAATGACGTCAAAAGAAAAGTAGTGCTAACATCGTACATTGGAATTAAGTGTAGCAGTTAATTGTGTTTGATTAGAGCAAGCATGTGACTCAAAATAAAGAAGAATCATGCTTTATTAAAAACAAGTATAAAGTATGGAATTATTTCTGTTCCTTTTTTCGGAAAGCATCCTTCGTAAGAAGTACCATAATTTTAAAAAACGAGGGTAAATTAGGAAAAAATAGAGCAATGCTAGTAGCATAATATGCTACTTTTACTGGTACAATCTTTCAGGGCCTAAATGCGTGATATCTCGAACCACGGCTGCGAAGAAGACTTAAAACAAACTTTTTTTTAATGCGTCCTCTATTATTTCATTTACAACAGGCTCGGTCAGGACGGATCTATGACGCTGTTTTAACTGTCGCCAGGGCTATCGAAAAAATTCTTTCGGAGAACAAATCACTCTCGCAGCCTCCTGTTGGCAATGGACTGTGCAGATCTGATAAACCGTGGATAGACGGAGAGATGCTTCTGAACTACATGAAAGGGGTTAGATTTATTCTTCAAATCGAATAAATAATTTTTTTGAAAGAGGAAAAACTTGATTTTGAGCACGTGATCTTTGCAGAGCTTTCGTTTGCCAAAATGGAAATTAAAAGTTAGATTAGAATCAAGCAACCTTATTCCAATCCGTCCTTCCGAAAAAAAAAGAAAGATTTTACAATAAATTGAGGTTTTAAAATTTTTTTTTATTAGGTAACCACTTGGTGTTTCGGTGCGCATTCTCAGTGTTCTGTGCATAGTTGTTCTCGCACTCAATTACGCCACGTAACGACTTTTTATCTAAGGGGAGGGGGGATGACGCAGATGACTTGTTCTCTTAGGGAAGGGGGGATGACGCAGTGACTAGTGTGCTCGCCCAAAACGCTGCTGCCCAGGTTCGATTCCCAGAGCTGGCGTCACATGCGGGTTGAATTTGTGGTTGGTTCTTGACTAGTCTTCCTCTTTCTGCAGTAAAAGAAAGGTCGGTGAACATGTCTGAATTTTTGCAAAATTGATCCGTAATATTTCTCTCCTTCCTCATGGAAGGTTTTCCACAACTTTCCAAAGGAGTTTTGATCCCCTTTGTAGGAGACGTTTGTTTCTAGCCTGAGCCAAACTCTATAATCGCACTCGATTTTCGCCTTTGCAATGCGCGTGCATGTCGGTTTATCGTGATCTAACCAATACCGGAGAAGCGATACGGTAGCTCGTTACATTATTAGTCTTTAGAATAATTTTTTTCCTTCTCCTTTAAGGTAAACGCTTCGGGAGTTATGAACAATATTAACTTTCGTAGGACTGGATCACCAGGGAAAACTGCGTACGATGTGGTTAATTTTCAGACTGATGACAAATGGGTTGGTAGGGGGTTTTTTTTTTTTTCGAAAAAGGCTATTTCATTATTGTTAATACGTTATCTCTAAACTTAAGGTAACTTTACGAGCTAAAAAGTTGATTTTTCTTGTAGCTGTATTTCATTCAAGATCAAGATATACTGAGAGTTTTGGAGTTGAAACATAAGAAAGATCGGGGAAAAAAATTACCCTGTTTTGGACTAAGATCCGCTCAATTATTCCACAGAGTTCGTTTTAAAAACGTTAACCAGGACTTTCGAGAAATAGACCTCAGGTTTCTCAAGACTTTTAAAACGCACTACGTGCGTTGTACGGATGATTCAAGTTGTCATGGAATTTTCTTGATACGCTATCTTGATCTCTTGATTCCAAATTGGAAGTAATGTAAAACTAACTTTTTACTTTCAACTTCGCCTTTTGAATGTCGAATTTGATTTCGTTTTTCTGAATATGGCAGGTAGGAGACTTTCAATGGAGCCCCAGGCCGCGGTTAAAAAATGAACAAAAAAACCGATTGTATGGTTAGATGGAAACCTCGATGTACCAAAGCTGGCAAGTCTTGAGCTAAAATACAGCAGAATCAAAGTGCTAATCGCCCTGGTATGTTTAAAAGCATTCAAATCAGCCAAGTTTCCTTTTGATAGCATTCTATGGCCTTTTTAGTTCGAGTTTGGTTTACAACTCTATTTGCCGTTAATTAGAACTTGAAGCCACTCACGCACATTTTCAGTAATTTAATTTCAGTCAGTTCAGACTCCTCAATATTTCCAAACGTCTTTCTTCTCCCTCGGCGGTTCGAGTTCCTAAAGATTTCTTTGTTTAGTTAGACGATTTTAGGAGGATCACATGATTTCAGAGGATGTAAGTGGGGTATATAGTAGATTGGCCCCCAATGAGAGGAGATCATCAGAATACTACAGAATGTTGGGGGGGGGGGGGGGGGGGTTAGAGTTTATTGTGGCACAATCAAAATGCTACAATCAATTCGTGAAAATGTAAACAGATAACTAGATAAAAAAAAAATGAATACATGAAAATAAAAAAAAAAATTGGGACGACAAGGAAGACTATACAAAGGACTACTCAGCAATATTAGAAGATCTCATATCTCCCGGAAAACGCGACAGTTAGTTATTGTCCCAAATCCAAGTAATCGTACAAATCGTCACGATATATATTGTTTTGAAAGAGATGATAACGATTACATGGAAACTGGGCTTAACGGAGCTGTAAAACAAACGTTGATGCTATTCAATTTAAATGTGCTCTTCAGAGTCCGCCGTTCGTAATGAAAAAAGAAAATTCCACGAACAGTAATTCAGATGTAGAATACGAGGGATTCTGTATTGACTTATTAGACGAGCTGAAGAAGAAATTACAATTTGAATATCATCTGGAACTGAGAGATAACTTTGGTGACCAGCAGAGTGATGGTACTTGGAGTGGAATTATTGGGGAGCTGACAAGAAAGGTGAAATGTGTAAGAGTGTGTAATCGTTTATAGCGGCGATGCATTTACCGACTTCGGCAAGCTTTCAGGAAACTACTTAAATACAACGCTTTTCTAAATAACTAAAACATTCCATTTTGCCGTGCGTCAGTTTAATATTAGATCATAGATAATGTCGTGGACCACAGTCATAGTGCCGCTCAACACCCGGGAGTGTAAATAGGAACTAGTGCACTGTCAAGGAGTCAGTCCTGAAAGAATGCTAGGGAGGAGGGTGGGAGAAATAGCGTGTTATGTACTGCATCCCATCTAGGGGTGAGAGCAAAACATATTCGCTACTTTACACAAACTGGGATAAGTTCCAGCTGGATGGGCCTCTTGGCTGAAGAGTGCAAATTGTACACATCTACGTACCCTATATAAAGCTTCTATGTTGCTTTAATGGTGAAAATTCTGCGATGTCTCTTTACCAACTGACCATTTACTCTCCACAGAAAGCTCAACTGGCCGTGTCCACTATAATCATCAGCCCTGAACGCGAAAAAGCGGTGGACTTTACACAACCTTACTACAGTCTGGGATTCAAGATAGTTATGAAGAAAACAGACATGGAAAACAAGGTGAATACCTGGGGATTTTTAGATCCTTTTGAGAAGACTTTGTGGATTGCCATCATCAGCTCATCAGTGATCATAGGAACTGTGGTTTGGATCTATGACCGACTGAGCCCGTATGGCTACTATGGCAAGGTGGTACAATCAGCGGAAGTCAGCAGCGAGGAAGCGCTTGCGAAGAATACCCTCTCGGTATTTCATTCATTCTGGGCAGCGGTTGCCTCTTATCTAGAGCAGACTCCAGATAACCTGCACCCGATTTCTCAATCTGGTAGAGCGACTACATTAGCTTGGTAAGATAGGGCACGTGTTTACGAAACGAGGGTGTAACCCAAGACAAATTATGTATAAAAGCAACTATTTTATGATACTGGTATTCTATGTTGGACTCTTTGATCATGACATTTAGTTCTATTACACGGGAAAGAATTAAATCTTGACCAATCCTTCCTTGATTTAGATTTAACTTTTGTCACTTTGCTGTATGACAACATTGTGCTCCAACAATAAGCCAATCCTCACAGAACATTTCCCTTGGAACACAAATCAATGAGCCTCCAGAACGCTTATTGATGGTACATATATTTATTCAATGAGCAAGATAATACAATTACTCTTATTGGTCAAAAACCTATCGTTTATTGCATTGGTAAACCCATAGAAAACTCAAGTTCATTTTTGATAAATAATATGTCGTCTTTTTTATTAGTTTATCGCCTCCGGCTCGTAATTTACAAACTTTTCTCTTGTTCTCCCGATATCCCGCGTGGTTTATTACGCCGGTAAACCGGTAGAAAGTGCGGTCCATTGCTTAAATAATAATCTGCGTTCCCGGTGCTTTTATCAAGTGGTCGTTGAGATAACAAAAATTAATGATCGTCTTCTCAAACCTTTATTGCTTCAGGTGGTTTGCTATTTCCATATTTGGTGCCACATATACCGCTAACCTGGCTGCGTTCCTGACCATCAACAAATATGAAAATCCAATCACGAACATTGAAGATCTGGCCAATCAGAACAAAGTAAAATTTGGAACCGCGCGTGGTCAGCTGGCTACAATGCTCAAGTATGAACAGCTAGTAATATACCTATTGAGAACGGTGTAGTTCATGTTAAACACTTACAGATGGTGCTGGGCATTTCATTCTTTACAAAATTGAAAGCTATTTTGTTGAACTAATTAAGCCCATTTCTCATATATTCAGTCCCCCCCTCCCCCCCCCCCCCCCCCCTCCCGGTCCATCAGCCGGTGGAATTTTTGTCGATTTGTCTGGCACAAGAACCAGCGAGTACAGTTACAGTGCGTTCATTGCAAGCACTTGTAAAATTACACGTGTACACATGAGAGTTTTTTGTAGGGAGTCATTGTATATTCAGAAGGTTCTGCTGCTACAAAGGGGCGCCCTTTCTTATTTCATGTATTTAGTTTCTTTTTTAACTTGATGGTTAACAAACAGTCAAATGCTAGTTCAAAATAAAAGAAGAATGATACGAAGTTTGAATTGCCATGCCTTTCCAACTCCTCTAAAAGATTCCAATCATGCTTAAACCCAACTCGTTGCTCGCAAAGCATCATAAAATGAGAAGCTAATCGCCTAGCAACGATTAGCAAGAACTAAAAAAGTTTTGTGTAGGGGAGACTCTCTCTTTTTCTCAGATGCCAGTGAACTAAATAAACCAACATTGCCTTATTTCCTTTTCCTAGAGAGGCTAAGCTCCCAGTCTACGAGAAACTATGGGATTTCATCGAGCGTCATGGAACGCTGGAAAAGAATCATACAGCTGGGATCGAAAAAGTGCGAAACACGGAAAATTATGCCTTCATTTGGGACTCGGCAGTACTTGAATATGACGTGCAACAAGAACCGTGTAACACACTTACTCTTATCGAAAGGTAAATATGGAAATTTCTTAGGTTGAACATGGTTGTGTCATGGCGCTTTCCAATCAGTATGCAAACACAGAGGTCTAATATAGGGCATGCGCAAGTGGATCAATTCTGAGTATTCCCGTTCCCCCCTTCCCCCTCCTTCTATTTAATCTAAGAATTGTCTCTATTAAATCTATTTTGATTCATCTTCCACAGACCATTTGGTAGTATCAACTATGGCTTCGCTCTCCCTCGCAATTCACTTTACACTCATAACTTTAGTGTAGCAATGTTGGAGTTGCAGCAAGATGGCTTCTTACAGCGCATGAAAGAGAAATGGTTTAAAAGCCGCAGCGTGTGCGGTGCAGAGACACAGGCAGCCCAGGAAGCTGCTGAGGAGGGCGGTGACCAGCTTCAGTTTAGTGACTTGGCTGGGGTGTTCATCACCCTTGTAGTGGGCGTGGCTGCTGGGTTGATTGTCCTGTCCATGGAACTGATTTATGCGTCTTACAAAGACACCCAGTCTAAAGATGGCGAGGTGGGTACTGATTGGTTTCAGTTCTCGAATATAATATCACGGTTATAAAAAATCTGCTATATCGTTTACTTTGCGCTCTTAACAGTTCACATTACGTTATAAACTAATAATAAGCCTTTTTCTTCGTTGTTCGCTGCAAGATTATTTTACGTCTCCCATCAGTTACGTCACACCTTAATGGTGCACCCTCCAGCCTTTTTTTTCGACTCCCTTTGCGTCATTCGTTATTTGAGTTCGATAACCTACATGCAGCGAAGGTTTGTTTGCAATATCGGTGCATGAGATCTGTCTTTCCTCTTCTGATAATTATATCAGGCTCAGATATCATCAAACCCTTTAGGAGTGGAGAGGGGCTTGGCATTCCAGAAGTTCTGTAAAGAACACTTGAGTCATTGTTAATGCAGGAACATAAGTTTAACTTTTTCTTTACACTCATTAGGCACCAAACACACTATGTGCAGCTCTTTGGCGAAGGTTGCATCGAACTTATATGGGATTCCACGATCTCCACAAACGTGACGAGGGAGAAAAGCAGAAGGAAGAGGACCTGGCTATGTCTGAGGGCCTCCTACTTCCCAGCGCTCTAGAAACGCAAAATATTTGATTATATTCAAACTTGAGCCAGGATGTTTTGACCGAGAGGCTTAGCATGTGTGTGTGGAACTTTACAAGGCTCATGAGGAATTTATGTAACTGTTAGACTTTAGATGAAGGCATGTACTTGTTTAAGATAGCTTAGAGTCGGTTTTCCCTTAGCTTAATGCTCCATTTTTACTTTAATATAGCTAGGCTTCTCATTATATGTTTATCTGCTATGCATAAGACTCATCTGGGATAGGAAAGCTGAAGGAGACTCTCATGTAAAAATGGAGCAGAGATGAAATACAGGCTATCACGGTGATCCTATAATTATTATTAACAGTTTAAGAGAATTAATGATAATTTCCTCAATCATCCTTGAAGTGAGAAATTTCAGCTTAAAGTAGTCACAGATAGGTCTTTCTTAGTTATTACTAGGGATTTTGACTACCATTCTTGTCATTTTCATGCGGAAGTCTTTTTTGCCAAGGGACCAAATTTACTCAAGAATGAGTCCCTTGTTAAAACTAATTTGTTGCAGATCATATGTAACATTACAAGTTACCGTGTCCAGTAGGATTGTTATATATTGGAGACTAGACTGTGAATGCTATAGATAGGACACTTAACTGCAAGAAAATTTTAAAAATTTGTCAGCTAAGGAATTTGGTCAAATGTAAACTAAATATTTTCAGCGGCGAATCCAGGAAGTTTTGGTTGAAGGAGGGGGGGGGGAAGGGGCAAACTGGATTTTCGTTTTTAAACTAGAGTATGATTCAAGATAAGTGAAATTTCAGTGCTTCAAGTTTAGATGTAATATTTATTCCTGTCGTTGTTATATTTCTGGTTTCAGGCAAGTAATGAAAATACCTACAGGTCTGATTTGTAGGAGGATCAAGGCTCCTCAGACTCTTTCCTTGGATCTGCTAAACATTAAATATTTAAAAGGTGTAGAATTAATCTAATTAATTTGGTTTGTAGATATGATGTAAGGTGAATTATGGAAAAGGTACCATCAATAAAGATGGCGAATGAAATTATTCATTTGTCAGGCCTTCCGATCATCCATAGTTGTCACTGTTTTGTCACAAGGATTTATAAGAATGGTGCGAGTCACATTCTTTTTTTAGTTTTACTTTTGGAAATTTTGATTACATTATTTCTTCTTTTTATTGCAAGGCAGAACGTGTGTGAAGAGAAAAAAACTTAGATCCTCTGTGTAGTAAAACTTCCTCTGAAAGCAAAATCAGAATTTTTAGTGAACACTTTCGTAAAATTCAAAAAAGTTGTGGAAATGATTAAATCAAAAGACAAGGTCGCGTAATCGCATGAACGTTGATTCATACAGCCTCTTATATAAATAAACATCACCGACATTTTTCCAACTCGATGTTTAATTGAAGCAGTTCAGGAGAAAAATTAGAAATGGTTGTGCCCGATCTCAAAGTGAAAAGAGTATGAAAAAATTTTTGCTTGATATTTTCTTTTTTTTTCTTTCCTCTCCTTCTCTCTCTCTCTCTCTATCTCTCTCTCTCTCTCTCTCTCTCTCTCATTTTTCTCATTTTTTCTCTGATGTCCTCAATTTTCTCTTGTTTCATTCTTTGTCTTAATCACATTCTCCTCAGTCTATCTCGCAGATTCTTTATGGTTTGTTCATCTTGCTGCTGTTTTCGTTTAGCTGCATCTATCTGAGCTTGAAGGTCTCTTTGTTGTCGTAAATATCTTTCCTTCTCAGCTGTCGATCTTTCCCTCGCTTCGGATATGGCAGCTTCGGCCTGCTCTTTCTGTGTTCGCATTTGTTCTTCAACCATGCGTTTGATGTTTCTTTGATCTTCGATGTGCTTCTCCTCTAGGCGAGTTATCTGAGATACAAAGACTTTGGGTTTGTATTTTGTTATCAATTCAAAACACGACTTACGCTGAAGATACTTAGTATAGGTTACCTTTTAACCAGACAGCACCTTGTAAAACGAATGTCGTGAAATAAAAGTGGAAAAGATTAAATTAAGTTTTTGTTTAAGTTTTCACCTCCGAAACACAGAGTGGAAACGAGAACCTTCCTATTTATTACCTTAACTTTATTATGCATTGCAGACTATAAAATAGTCGACGTAGTAAGACTCTACTGCAAATGCCAAATGTACTTTTCAAAATCTCCTCTCAGATAAATGAAGGATAGTTAATTCTGCTAAGATATGGGCGACTGACTCGTACTCGAAATTAAAAAAATTTTGATTCCTCTCAACTTTGTTACAAACACATCATAAAAAAACTTTAATTGAAAAAGTTGATAGAGTTTTATCTAAAGCTCTTACCTTTCCTTCGATTTCTTTTCTGTCCTCTACCAAATGCAAGTTCTCATCCTAAAAAAAAAAAAGATGAAAGTGAAAAAATAAATAAAAGAAAAAAGTTAAGTAACAATGAAATACATGAAAATGTATTTTACTGCTACAGGAAAGTTATCAGCTATATTGAATTAAGATAAAGGAAGTATCCAGAAACCCAAACTCGTTTATATTCAAATCTTGTACTTCGAGCGAAAAAACATTTTTTTGTTGATCATCAGGGTAAAATACAATAATAAAATAGCAGCAGAATTGTTTGTCGAAACTTTAACACTCCAGGTAGCCATATCGAAAGAAAAGCAGCATCATAACCATTATTATAATTGATATCTACACTCAGCGAGCTTCGTGATATCAGCAATCGTACTTGTTTGCTATCATGTGCTAATGAACATTTTTCCTTAGCTTGCGGTTCGGTAAACATTAATCCAATAGTCACCTCCATTTCAAATATTAACAACAACTAATCTAAACAAACTTAGCGAATGACGCATATAAATAACCAATGTTCAAAGTGTATCATTCTTCCTCCTGCCTGAAAGGTATCTAACTTGGTAATCTGGGCTCTCAAATATGAAAAAAACTGACCCTTAGCCTTTCTGTCTCCTCAGCCTCAGCTTCTCTCGCTGCTCTCTCGGAGGAGATATCTTCATAATACTTCCTCCTTGTCCTAAGTCGAGCAAGATGTTTCTTCATCTCTTCAAAATGTTGCTGTCAGTGTAATGAAACACAGATCATGTCAGTATCTGAGAAACTGCGCACCAACTCCTTCACTAAAACAACATCAACCCTTACTTGTCATCAGTTGACTGTTTTTGGGTTAGGGAAGGGGTAGGTGCAGTTGCTCAGATACAGACCTGATTATGCAACGCCTCCCCGCGTTACCTTTTCTCATTCCTAAAACGTTTCATCAACTTCCGTTAAACTAGAAAAAAAAAAAATTTATGTTTCGCGACCGAGAATTATGATTAAAACTGCAAACTGAATATTACTTTAAATGATGGTAAAAAGTAAATGGTTGTAGACCGTGGTATGCCATTTATTTTCTTGTTGTTTTGGGCAATATGTGTATGCAGTAAGCAAACCGAACCTTTCCATAGACCGCGGTAATGATCAGGTGAAGGAGTTAGAGGGGAGAGTATGAAACAGGAAGTTCATTGTAACCTGAACAAAAAAAAAAAAAAACATCCATACCAATTCATAGATGTAAGCCAGGTTTGAACATAAGCTCTTGTCTCCTTTGGCCTGTTGCTTGAAGTCACTGTCAAGTTTCTGATAAACAGACCTCAAACGCTCTTCCAAAATCAAGAATTCGTGATCATTGGGATCATGGACATCTTTGAGGACTGGGTCCAACCACACCACGCGTAGCGTTTTCATCAGGTCACTGCACTGTTCCTCAGTCAGATTGTTGTTCTCTCTTAGCAAAGCACTCTCAGCTTCGTCTGTATAGTTCTAGTGATATAGAAATAATACAATTCAGCAGTGGCACATTTACAGAGTGTTTCTTAACCCTTTAACTCCCATGAGTGACCATAAGGGATTATTAGCTGATCCAATACCAAATGCTTCAAACCAACATCACAAGATTTATATGACAGACAGTAAGGAGAATTGTTAATGAGATCTTGGGAGTTAAAGGGTTAATCCACTGGCGGCAAAGGAGATCGGAGTGATTTTTGCGTGGAAGGAAGAACACGACCCTCAAAGAAAGGAAGGAAACCAATAACAAACTCTTCCTACATATGCCAGCAGAATCAGGAATCGCACACCGGGCTACAGGGCGAGAGCGGCAATTGCACCATGAGTTCACCATCCTTAATTCCCTCAAAAGGGTAAAATGAAGAACAAACAATTTGGATGATCTTTAGATAAGATTAATGTTGGAATATAGAGTGAGCAATTAACAAGCGTGAAAAATAATTGACCATACAGAACCACAGAAGTAGCAAGTAGGATGACCCAAGTATTCTTGATTACACTTTCCTCGACTTTGTCTTGTAAGAGAAATCTTATAATGTTTGTTTTACTAAAAGAATAAGAATGATCAAAGCCAATTTCAATCACAATTTGATAAGGGATAGGAGCTGATACGACGTGATGTTTAGTAGCCAGTAGAATCGCGCGAAAATTATAATGAATAGGTTATGATAGCTGGCAGGAATCTGTAGTTTCTCTTTTAACTGTCAATGGAGAATATAGGCGAAAGCTTCTCGTCAGGCAGCACTGCTATAGCCGTTTGTCTATCGATGTTGTTATTATTGTTGTTTTTATTTAAGTTATGAAAATGTGGTATAAGCAAACGTACAGCTATAAACAAGCTAAATATAGTTACTCTTTGTTGGTTAAAGATCAGCTTAATGAATCTAAATATCTACATCGAACTCATTATTTACCGCTAACTCCTCGATGTACATCCACCGGGCCATTACAGCCGTGTCCTCTGCTTCAGTCTCAAAAAAAGTTAGAGCTTCCAACAAATAATCTTGATGAGCATTGCGAATCTTTCTGTCGTCACAGGGAAGACACACCTTTTCTTTGAACTCTCGTATCCCTCCACTGAATCAAGAAATTAAAAAATTTGAAATACTGCCGAAAGGAATCGACTATGATCTCAGATCTTATTCCCTGAGCTGTAATCAACGGACACAGCAGAAATAAATTCCTTCGGTGTTTCTGCATATTTCAAGTCAGCAAGTATCTATAGTTTTCGGTTACAGAGCTGCAATTCTTTTGCACTGATCAAGCGATTCTCCGAGTGTAGAAGAAAACCATCTTTTCTGAGATCTGATCACTTGGGATAGCAAATAACAACAACAACAACAAAAAAACGCCAACGGAAATGAGTTTCTGCGCAAACCCAAATGAAATAGGCTCAAGGTCAACCTTACAACACTTGTGGTGCTGACTAAAAAGATCGCCGCTTCGGAAACGGAGTCATTATGGAAGCAGAGTTGCGCGCGTATAGAAATTCCGGTTTATTTAGGCAAGTCTTTTAGTAGTACTTACTCGTACAGAGCTTTAGCATCGTTTAGAGTCTGAGTACATTTTGTTTTGGTAAACACGTTCCATGCACTCTCAACAACTGGAACAGCCCCTGGTGAATTTGCAGCTTGAATATATTCTTCGACCAGAGTTGCCAGAGCTATGAATAAGACACAAGCGGGTAAATGGTTATAAAACAATTCATCTGGCTCAAAATTCAGGCAGTCATCTTGCTCTAATCCTTGAAAATTGACCCTCTATCATAAAAGGGCGTTTGAATTTTGACATCTCCACGACCGCGTTTCATTTAATCCAAACACGTATCTTATTAATGTATAATGCATACATACTTTAATCGTGTATTTTTGAAGGTTTTAGTGGCTACTTCATGGAGGAAGAAGGGAAGCTGTTAAACTAACAGGACGACAAATTAAAGGAAATCAATGTTGAATGAAAATAACAAATTAAAAAAAAGAGAGTTCCTGTCATTTGGTTTACGTGTATGACAAGGATCCCTTCTTCATATTTCCTAGATTCCTTGCACTCCACAAAATATATATATATATTTTTAAAAGAAGTTACTACTACTAGAGCGTTAGACTGTCTCTAAAAATTTTAAAAAATTGCCAACCTTCTCCAGTGACAAATCCTTGTCCAACAAAACTCCGTTTGGGAGTTAGTTTTGAGTGCAACATCTTTTTGAACTCTTCCACTCCTTTCTTGAATGATGAACTAATCTCCCCTGCCTCCCCTTCTCATTTAAGTTTTGTATGAGTGTAGCATCTGATGACGGAGGGAGAGGGGGAAAGGCGTCAAAGTCAGGAAAGAACTTCAGAATGTTGTCCACGACCTTTTGAGACTTTTCATTAGGCCGACCTCGCATCTTGAAGACCTAAACGACAGAAAACATGAAGAACATGAAAGTTCAGGAACACGCTAACGTCAAATCGAGAACCTTCTTTGAAAACTTGTTGTTAGGATTCTTTCTCTTCCTTTCTTGAAAGAGTACTGTTGTCCAGCAAAACGCACAGTTTTGAAAGTTTTGTGAGAAAAGCTATAACTCCCGTCTGAGCAAGTGAAAGCCTAAAAAATTGATTGTAAGTACCGGTTGAGATGAAAAGCGCTCCACAAGAAGATAAACAGTCCTGTGAACAGTCAAGCGCCTGAACGCAAGTCTAAAATTTAAAGGGGTTTTGAAATTATTTGCAACATCGCCTGCAGCATGCAGCACTCAAAATTCCCTCCCCAGAACAAATTTGGCCATAACTGTTTCTACCAGTTCGGACTAATACAGTTCCGTTCCATTCACCAACGGCAAGTTCTGAACTTTTGTGGTATGGTTACCTTTTCAAGGAAATACGCTTTTAAGTTTTCCACGCCCTTGGGAAGACTTAACACAACATCTCTGAGCAGCCACACAAAAAGAAGGAAACACGTGCTGTGAATCTTCTTTGTCTAAAGGTTGTCCTGAGACCACTTGAATCCGCTGAGAAATCTTGATTATGTGACTAGCACTCGTTGAGGCATCTAAACATTTAATTTCCTTTCATTTTATAACTTGCACCATTTTGTGGAAGATGTTCATCACGAATAACCAATGCATATGATCATGAAAGACTACAAGAGAAAGCTAAATGTAACTTTTAGAGATTGCACATGCTTTAATTGAACGTAGGCATCGAGTGATAGATATAATTGAAAGATAGATAGACACATACAAGAGATAACAAGAGCACACTCAGCTGCAGATTAATACGTAGTAGAGTCGAAAAGGATACTCAAGTCCCTCAAGATCAGTTCTTGTGGGAACGCCAACAGAATTGTAAATTAATACAGAGCTCAAGAGAACGCTGAGTGTAAATATGGCGTGATCATTAATACCCTCTGCACTCACTGCATCAATTCCTTCGGAATCCAACAGCACAACGGTGAACTCTCTGCCTTGAGCATCCGTGTATTTCTCTGGTACTACCCACAGCCAAATTCCCATGGTCTCCGGATCAAACGAATGCCCCAGTGGGAACACGTCCCCTTGATCGAACGCTCTGCTGAGGATGTACGATTTTCCCCTCCTGCATGGCCCGGCTATCGACACGACGCACACTGGTCCGCCAATAGACCGAAGTTTCCGCAGTGCCGGGTTTACAGGCTGAAGTCCCGTGCGGGGCTGACTCGAGTCGCGCTGGAACGCTCCCGATGTTTCATCCCAGCTGCAGTTGTTTGGTATGCACAATGGAATGGCCGCCATGGTATTCCCGGAGCCCTGTCTCTGATTAGAATCCCTACACAATTTCACGTGTAAACCACGGATTAGGACTTTTTCCTTGTTTACGTAATCTCATCTAAACTTTAGGGGGTCGAGAGCTTTCGAGACAGCTACACAAACCCTCGAATCCGTCCCACGTTTGCATAATTTTTGAGGAAAGCTCTCTATTGCTCTAAAAAAATATTTTACTGACTGACGCTCACATCTAAAACGTTACAGCCGTTTTTAAACACTCACATCTGATCACATCTATCGACCAATTAGGCCGCGTCCACAAACCTAAATATTTCATATCAAAACAGAAATCAGGTTGAATCGATAGCAATGTAAACAACAGCTTAACTAGCTAACCCCCAAGAATTAATAATCTCTTGCTAACCCCTAAGCCCCACCCCACCACCCCTCTACCAAAAGTCACCACAATTATGAAATGGATAAATGTATTTTGGCAGCCGTTACCGCCGAAAATACATGCAAATAATAAACAATAAGGACAAAAATACTGACGGACAGCTCACCTTAACTGAAATAAAATAGTGAAAAGAACCAAATGCTTAAACATTTGAAAGCTTGTATGGTGACACCGGTTGAAATGGTTCAATAACAAGCCCGACGAATGATCAATTCCTGCTTGAAACTGTTCTGCCAATTCATGTGTGCAAAATGCGGCCCCCCCAAAAATAACCAATATATGATTTGATAATGATTTTTCCTTCAAGTACATCGTAGCTAACGTGAATGAACCAATTGCAGATTCCCTTTTGGTTGAATGTATTTCACGCAGGAGCCCCTTACTTAGTAATGGCTCCTGATTTCATGCAGGATTCGCCTGAAAATTTTTGTGTATTTCAACGAATTTTTCTACGCCGACTTTTTATATGCATTCATGGTCACAGAGAGTTGGAATTTGCATCTCGTGCGTGTATAATTACATAGATTGGGTGACAAAAAGGAAGTAATTTGTCACACGCGCCAACATTCAAAAGAGAAAGTGTTTTTGTTCAGTTCCTAACTTCCGCTTCACTTCCGGCTTTAATGGAAATTCGTGAACCTTGCATCATTTAAAACAATGAAAGTTTAGCAAACAACAGCAGTAGAACTTCTGATTTAAATGTCATGGATTTAAACCGACTCTTCAAGGCTAAAGCAACGAATTAAAATAACAACTTTCCATGGCCAAGATGCTTCGCTCTCGCTCATCGAAAAGCTAAAGCTGGGTGTTATTCTGTCAGTTCGACATGGCAATCGAATTGCAAGCGACTGATAATCGATTTTGATAATGTTTGGACGCTTTCTTACTAGTTTAGTACTTCAAGTGACTTTGTGAAGCATGGACTTGAAAGCCAGAACTGAAAATATATGGTAGGAAACAGAAACACTTCGTAACCATTACTCAATTCATAAATTATCGCACCCAGACAGAGGATATTTTCGTTCAAACAGCGCCGTATGTCGGATATGACCTCAAAACGACCTTCATCACAATATATTATCCACTAACCTTCTTTTAAAGCTGGATTTTTTCCGTATTAAACTCTGGAAACTGAAACTTTTTTTAAAAGCCTTCTGATAAACTCCTTCTTCCAACGTAGTCACCGTCCATAATGTAACCGCGAGAAGATTGGGGAGGATAGTATTTCTATTGCGTAACTCTTCTGCATGATGATGTTAATTTGCTGTTACTTTGACCCAAAATCCTTGAGTCTCTCTTTCTTTATTTTCACGTGGTATTCTTTTGGTATCAGAGTTTCGCAAGTACCTTAAAATTTGAATTCAACAGGCCGCACTTTGAAGGCGAGGAGATGAACTTCAGCATTCCGACGTAAACATGCAGAAGCCTGTTGTCAAGCAATGTAATCAAGAATTCAAGAATTCATCTTAAGTAGTAAAAAAAAAAAAAAAAGGAGAGAGAGAGGGAGAGGGGGAGATATGATTTTAAATCTTTGGACCAGAGGCTGATATTCCGCTCCGGAGAGTTTTTCGCTTCGGAAGAGGTATTTGTTTCAGCAAAATTGTTTTCGGTTAATTGAAGAACCCTTTCGGGAAGCCTCTATGGAGGTATCAGACTTTGAAAATTCACCAAGCAAGGAGAATATCTGTAGATTAAATAAACTTAGCAAACATTATTTTAAAACTTTGATCTCCAAAGAAAATACCTGCACGAGGTTATACATACAAGTTACTTACACTTCACCGGGGTAGACTATTATCCTGCACTGATCATGATGTGATGTGACATGTTTACAATTATATCATTATTGACAGTCAGGGTCAGTAGCGTTTTGAATGGATTCTGCACAGCCTGTACCATATCAGATGTCAGTCAGCATATCATAGAAACGACAATAAATATTATTTCTATGAAATACATGCCCCAATATCAACGTTTCTAGGTAACAAATTCTCTGTAAAAAAATTAGCAACGCTGAAAATATTATTTTTCGCTTCAAAAGGGATTACTATTACTATTACTATTTTGGCGATGTTTCCTTAAACAAAACAAAAATGTGGTTTATTGTGAAAGGTCGTTTCTCCCTTTGATATTTTTCGCATTATCATTAGACATTTCTCATTGAAATATCTATAATTTATGCACAAAGGAGAAGAAAGCGAAGAGATAAAAACAATTGAGAAGATATGTATCATTAAGATTTGTCGCGGAAGAGCACATTTGGAAAAGCTGCTGTCTGGTGACCCATAGTTATTTGTATTCCTGAACAAGGGTTTAACATAAAACAGTTTTCTTCACGAGTTGGCTCACCGCGAAGCCCTTTGATCATCAGTGTTATTCAGTCAGAGGAATAGACTGAGTGGAGGAAACAAATAAAGAATGTGTTTCAGCTATGACAAAATAGGTTTATAGGGATGCATCAAGAAAGGTCAGTGTTAGGCTGTACACCTTTGTTGCATCGTATTTCATTTTTCGGTCGCGCAATGCGTCCTGGCTGTCAAGTCACAAGTGTGGTACTTAAAAAAAAACCCTAAAACTCTACAAACTTGAGTTCTTTCTGTGTGCCTTGAAGAAAAATTTCCAAAATATCGAAAGAAAATTTACTTTTACCAGGAAACGTACAGACAGCGAAGAGCGGAATGAAATACCCATTAATGTCACGAAGTGTCACTGTCTGATTCCAAAGAGTAGCTTAGCCATAAGGGCTCATTCCGAGACCTGATTAATTATTAATACAATTCCCAGAAACATTTGCATGTCTTTTACCTAGTGTGTTGGAGTTGCTGAAAAATCAGCCATCATGTTTATGCTAGCGATAGCTACATGTACACAGTCTTGATCAGACACGTTTGTAGCGGAGGTTTCAAGGTAAGATTAGTTTGTGGTAACTATGGCGTAAATTTTGTTCACAGACGCGATCGTTTTTCTTAGCCGACGCCAGATCAAAAGATTTGTGGTAACACGCATGATCAGTCTCTTACTGTTCTGTTGTAAAGCACGCACGAAGAGGATAGAGCACGAAAGAAGTTTAAGAAGAAACACAATCCTTTTTCTGCCCACTTCTTGAGTCGAATTTGGCCGAAGCGGAAAAATCTTCAGACGCATCGCCAACAAAATTTGTCTCGGGTAAAAATTATGCAAAATCGTCTTAATAAACAAAACCGTCAGAAACCGTTGTCAATCTAGAAAGGCAAAAATTGTCTTTTGTTAAAAAACTCAGGGATCGATTGTAGAATTTTAAAAAAATTGGAAGTGGAATCCTTTGGCAACTATGTTGGCCGATCTTATGAACAGATCAGACGGACGCTGACGGAATTTGTTGACTCTGAAAATTTTAATGCGGATGCAAGAGGCGTAACAAAAATTTGTCGTGGCAAAACTTTTCTTTTGAGTTTGCCGGGAAAATTCTTGTTTTCGCCAAATTGTAAGAGTTTTCATGTGACGAAAACAAACTGTTCAAGGCGTGTGTTTTAAGAATAAACGACAGCCGAATTCACGAGAACATGAAGGCTGCTAGGATGACAGCGCCGTAAAACTAGCCTGCTGTGACTGATGTTGCCTTCCACTCAACGCATCGGAAAGGTTATAAAAGCAAGCTCTTTGTCCCCTCGAAGAGCGGTCGATGTAATTTCTGAGGCTTTCTTCAGTACGATGACCGGAGATCGCGATGATGAGCTAGCTGCAATGGACCAGTCGGCATGATCGCAGTCGCTCTGACACCTTCATGATTAGTATGAATTTCAACAGTTATGCCAGTTTGGCTATATTTTTCATATCATTCTTGTTTTGTTCTGCATTTTTTTTTTTTTTTTTGAACATGAAACTATATATGCTATACGAGTGTTAGCTGAGTTTGATTTTTATTACCGTACGTAAGCTTGCAATTTAACTGAGCGTGAAAACCTTCAATACTCGGTCTCCACTGCGTTTTCTCTCTGGATTTTCGTCTCTGCTCATGTTATAATAACGTAAATTACGACGCTTGGCATGTTTACAAACTCTTGTTGGGTTCTTTTGTTGCTACTTGCTGGCTTGCTTGTTCCGAAATTTTTCTTTCAACTAAGGAAAAAAAACTAGAGAAAAGTCCCGGAAAAAGTCGAACATAGTACAATTTGGCATACGGCGTGACAGCTTTAGCTCAGCTCTATGCTTTGTGCTCTGATAGAGCACATTCTTTCAACCAATGACAGCGCGCATCATATCCAAACTTTGTTATAATAAAATTTAACATGTACGTATTACAAGCGCACAATTCTTTTCGTAAATGTTTGTTTTCATCCAAACACTCGAGTTCCACTCGATTCGATCGATAGCTGGGAGATGTTTGGACTTAGAGATAAACTGGGACTTATTGTCATACTCTTCTGCTCGTTCCCTTGATTTTGAAATTGTTTCTTTGGATTTTCGTCAGTCAACTCTACTGTGAATAACTTAAGCCGCAGGTTTCGATTGTTTTAGCTAAGATATTAAAGTTTGGATCACGTTTATTTGTCGATTGATTATTCGTTAGGTCTGGTGATAACTTATCTGATTTACTCAGTTACGTGCAAGGTTCGTGATCCAAGGACACTATGAGTCCAATCCCAAGTGTTCTTTATCTTTTTGCATCGTACGCACTATCGTTATTTTCGTTCGCACGGCCTCTAGTCACCATTTAGAAAAAAATTATACTTAATGACCAACCACTGTGTGCGGAGACTCAAATCGAATCGCCCCTCTGGGGAACTTAAAATGTCTTAAACTAGGACTGAGGTGGTTTTATCTTTTCAAAGCTGATCCACAATTTTTTTTACAACCAAGCTATATTAAAGCAGAGGGGAAGTCATTAAGTTCCTCTATTCCCTTACCAAAACTACATGTCTGTTACATATGTGTGACACTTATGTGTCTGTTATATATTTATGTGTATATATGATAAATATTGCATTTATGTGACATACATGTAAAGATTCTGACGTGATTGCACATACATGTGACATTTATGGGACGTGTGACATACAGTATATGTTGGATATGTAATTATGTGACTTATATGAAGTTTTGGAAGGGTTCACAGCCAGCTGGTTGCAATTTCACATTCTGCTCACATGATGTGTATTTTTAGTTTTCTATGTAATGCAAGGTGCATATGCATATGATTTATGGCCATTATCTTCAAAAATTTCCTTCCAGAAGTAAATAAATGCTACTTATATACCGAAATAAATTAATTTCTGCAGTTGTCTTAAACCTTGATTCAATGGGCAGTATAATATTCTGGAGGCTAATTATTGTGTCCCGGCAAAGAGATTGTAAATTCAATTGTCATTCGTTAATATTGCATAAACATCCTCACTGTGTATAACTTCACATGAGCCTGGGTTTATGCTTCGTAAAAATGGTGCCTTTTTCTCAATCGGAGCTCACCAGAAAAGTAAATTGTCATTTTCTTGCAAATGAGCTTAAAGACCTCCTGTGTACCATTATTTCTCTTTCTTGGAATTGGGAAATTATTTTCTTTCTGTCAAACAATTATAAACCAATTCTTCGTGCGGGGAAAGGAACATTTCAGAAATACCAATTTAAAAAATATATGATATATATATATCTAGAAGGTATTGCTGCTCATAAAAGAGCATGGTACCTCCCTTTTTTATTTCAAATTGTACTTTTCCTTAAGATCAGCAACCAACATGTACAGCTCGACGACAATCTTAGTGTATGTTCTATGGAATGGCTTCAAGTGTTCAAAGTATCTTATCAATTGCTTTGTATTGTTTATTTTATAGAAGCTGATTGGCATCGTTACAAGTTAGAATGGAAGCAAGCACTCGCAGGAACACTCATGGTGATCCACCAAAGATCAGTGTTAATCTTCCAAAGTTAAGTGAGCTTACCCAGTCGAAAAAACCTTGGAGGGAGGTTCAACTCCCAATTGACATTCTGTTGTTAACAGTGAAAGACGTTGAGTTTTTAAGTTGCTACTATTACATTAATGATCTAATCAAAAGCTATCTGAAAGGGCTTGGTTTAGTATACTTTGGCAGCATTGGTGAAGATAAAGATGTCAAACTGAAAGTTGCTTTGATGAAATGCTCAGAGGGTTCTAACGTTCCTGGTGGTGCTTTGATCGTTGTAAAAAAATGCTGTCACTCAGCTGAGGCCAAAAGCTGTCTTCTGTAGGCCACTGTAGTGGTATGAATCAGGAATCGACAAAGCTGGGGGATGTGGTTGTATCAAAAAAGCTCACAACTTATTCCTATCAGAAGGTTGCAAAGGATGGCAAGAAATTTCGTGGGTTCATAACTCCTGTAAGCAGAGACATCGCTGAACTCATCGAATGTGCAGGTCATGGTTGGAATCCACCCTTAGAAAATCCTAAAGAAAGGAAGGTTGAAGTCCACTGTGGTGAGGTTTTGAGTGGTTCAGAGCTCGTACAAGCTGAGTGGCGACGAGATGAACTAGTGAAGTCATTTCCTGAAGCAATTGCAATTGAGACAGAAGGAGAGGGTAAGGTCTCCTTTTCCTTTTAAGTAACTGTTACTTTAAAATCTGCTCAAAGAGATATTCGGGTATATTTGAATCTAGGGAGAGAGAATTGATACCTATATGATATCAGTTGTGGTGGGTAAGCTTTTCTGCCAGTGTCGAGAGATGCACTGGCTGTGTGTGAACATACTGGACTTCAGATCAAGAGGTCTGGGTTTAAGCCCTGGGCTAATGGGATTGTGTTGTAGTCTTGGCTGAGAGGCTTTACTCTCACAGTGTGTCTCTACACCCACGAGTATAGATGGCTACTGATGAACTGTCCGCTATTTCATATACATGTAGAGGGAGTAAGGGTATAGTCTTAGTGTCTGAATGGTATAAGCCCTGGGAGAAGCTCGTGCTACAGGGACTAGCTCGGTACTTAGTATACATAACTTTCCAAAATATATCTCTAGTTCCTTACAAATTTTTGATAACAATGGTAACATGATAACAATGGTTGAAATCAGTAGATGTTGGAGAAAATTTGTTGTTTTATTCTTAAAAAGCTTGTTTTTTTTTTGTCTCAGGAGTTTTCAGCGCAGCACGTGATCTGAAAATGGAATGGGTCGTTATCAGGGTATTTCAGGGTATGCAGATGGAACTGAAGCAAACGAAAACTGGCAAACATTTGCAAGTGTAACAGCAGCTTCTTTTGTTGTCAGCATTCTAAACCAATGCAATGATTTTGAAGATTGGCCACATTACCAAGGTGAACAGATCAACTTTTATCTTTCATAGGCCTACAGTATATTTGCTTGCAGTCACTAGCTAGTCATGTATGCTTTTTAGTTTTGTTTTCAATAAATGTGCTGGAACCGAATTGCCAAAACTAAATCAAAAACATGGTCAATGACCTATGATCATGCGCTGATCAATGACAGCAGCTCTTGGATCAGAAATGTTACCTGGTTGTTGACGTCAATTCAACATACAGGAGCTCTATAAAAATGGGTGGATCCAGCAAAATGGCATGAATAGATGCGATACGCACCACTCGCTATCCCCTCATCTTGATGTTTTGCTGTGATGTCTTTATGTTTTTAGTCAAGGAAGAAGTTTTCAGTGACGAAGATTTAGAGTGGCCTTACCTAAGTTGCTTATTGTATGGAAAATATTTTTTTCAAGCTTTTCGCTCGATTGCAAAGTAGAGATATAACTAGTGGGACATCAAATCCGTTTACCTGGCGATGACAATTTTTCTGCCTGGCAGAAGAAAAGGAACAAGAAATCTTCTGTTCGCATATGTGGACGTGCATACGCATAATGCAATGGCACGAATTGTCCTTGAAACAAACTCCTCAGGAGACGTTTCATTAGGAAAGGAAAAAGCTCCATTGCTACAATGAATCTGTTGGCTCAAAAGATCTGGTCTAATGATTTGTTTATATTTGTTATCATGCAGATGGTCGAAATAAAGAATCGTCTCCGCGTGACGCTTTAACTCCAAAGAAAGGAAAAACTTGTTTAACAGGTAAAATAAGGACATATCTATAAGCGTGCCCGTTAACCCCCACCTCCCAACCCCATCTTCCCGCCCCCTGCCTTTGTAAAATAAAAGTGAGGGGATCCAGCAAAAGGGAAAAAAATAGTTGCCATACGTACTACTCGCTATCTCCTCATCTTAATGCTTTTCTGTGATGTCTTTATGCTTTTAGTCAAGCAAGGAGTTCCCAGTGACAAAGATTTAGAGTGGCTTTCGCACCAACTCGAAAATTGGGAGGAACTCGGGCGTCGTCTCGAAGTTGAGGAAGCAACTTTAACGGCGTTTGACGATGACTATAAGAAAAAGCGTAAAAAAATCTACAAAATGTTACTACATTGGAAACAGAAGGATGGCTCAGCTGCAACATACAAGGTCTTACATGATGCATTGTGTCATGAATTTGTTAAGCGCACAGATTTAGCTGAGAAACTTTGCTGTCAACAGCATGAATGACTATTTACTTTATTGACTCACAGATAGCTTTTATTTCTATTTTTACTGATTATTCCACTGTCAAATGAACAAGTATACCCAGTATGGCTACACTATTACCATGTGAAGTGCTAAATCAGTTATCTTCCTTTTCCTCATGGGATCGTTTTTCTGTCTCTTACACACATGCATCTTTCTATTCTTTCAATGAAAGACGTCAAGTGTTAAAAGATATTGCCAGTTATGACCCAACTATAACTTTTCGTGCAATTCTTTTGACTACTCAACGTCACGTTGTACAAAATCACTGGATAGTTTTGACGCAATAACTACCATTTACGTCGATATTTGTCCCCCGATTATTTCCGTCGAAAAGAAACCAAGACAGCGGAAAAAAAGCCAACACTCGAGTTTCACTTTTTTATCTTTCTTATTGAACCTGTGAGAAGAACGAAGTTATTAGTTTATGTACTAAACATTCGCTGAGTTGCTCTGTCAATACCATTGCAGTGTTGTCGAAGGCATACGTCATGTTACGCATTTGCATCACCTCTGATATCTATACCTAATGCACATGCATTCCTCCTTCAATTGTTGGTTTTGACGTAGTACTGAATTAGAAATTTGAGGCGCTTTTTTCATAGAGGTTTGATGAAACCAAAATTCAGCGTGTTGAGAATCTTACGACGAGAACACGAATATATGCCATGTTCGGTAGTTGATATTGAGATTCTCCAATTTCTGTGAGTTATGTGTGTGCATTAGATAGTATATCGATCAAGAAACTGAGAGGAATGTCGAGTTGCGTCAGTTTTTCTCAAAGAATTGTAAGTTCACGAGGAAAAGACTCCGTAAATAGCTAGGCAACGAAAAAACGTGGTTCCCTGACACTCGATTAGGCTTGGACAAAAGGCAAAGTTCTTGAAACAGTCAGCTTGCTTGATAATGATATACATTTGATATTGGAAGTTCATCTTTGATTAATTGCCTACGATAATTTACGGTGTAGAATGTTTGTCAACGAAACGTTTCCGTAAAAATAAATGAGAGGTTTGACATAACTAACGGCCTATAGAATGATTCTATGGCAAGGAAAAAAATGTTTGGTAAAAACAAATGGTAGAGGATTGTAATTTCATCAGGGCTTCCATACTGCTTTTAGCTGGAAGAAAACAAAATGTCGATTTGCCATTATTTCTTTTGTGTGTGTGTCTTTTGTTCTTTAGAAAAGTCTTTGAGCATCCTTGGTTCTGGATTGAGAAGTTTGGTTGGAGCTCAATCGTTGGCAATTATGCTGATTTTCCGGGATAGTTTTCTGGGGAAAAATTTCTTTCTACCAAGCTTTGAGCAGTAAAATCTTTATAAAGCGAACTACTGGATTGATAGTTGTTGTCTGTTCATAACAAAAAACTTGTATGGCGATTTTGCACTTCGAGTTTTATTTTTTGGCATAAAATTTTGACCGACTGCTAAATAACAAAAGTTTTTCAGAGCTTTGCGAAGCTTCGCAATATCTTTGGTGGTTTAAAGTATTGAATATCACTTTTTTCAATCGAATGTTGCAGACCTGACGCATTTATGAAGCTATACAGGAACCAATTCTCTGTTATGAGGTCACGGTTCTATAATGATATTGCCAAGGTGATAAAAAAAGTGAAAATCTTGGGAAAATAATTAGTCTCGATAAATCTACAGTATTTTTTCATTGAAAACTGAAATACTCTCAAAGATGAAGTTTACACGTTGGCACATGGCTGTTAGCGTTGTATACGGGTGAGTATCCCTAAGTATCATCACTCTTTAACATCAGGAGTTCCCAAACTTGAGACCTTCGCTTCCCATTCTTCTTCAATAGCATGGAAATTTACCAGAAGAACTTTTAATGAAACTTAATTGTATAATATGGAACTTGACAGAAAAGTCAGAGTAAATGAAAGAAAGCGAATGCAAGGCCATCGTAAAATTTTGAGATTTATTTTGCCTAAAGACTTTTCCAATACACCTATGTCTACTGTGTTCTGCAGCCTAAACTTTAAATATAACAAACCGATATTACTTAGAAATAGGCACCGTTATTTCAGTAACTGCATGCATATTAAGTTCCACAGTCGGAAACATCAAATGAGGTAGGGGAGGCGTCGCTAAGGAACTGAATTTTTTCAATTTTATTTTCGTCAATTGTTAGTCATCAGGAATACATACTTTGCAGAAAATAACGAAGGAAAAATTAGTAAGAGAATACAATCCTTGGAAATATATATACATTTTTTTTACAATCCTTGGAAATTTTTTTTTGTTTGTTTGTTTTTTTTTTCGGTCAGCGGCGCCGAAAATGGCGGCCACGAGTTTCGGAGCTCTGATTTTAGTGTTTTATTTCTTACTTATTTGTTCTGAAATTCTTTCTACTTGGGATCCAATCGATTGCCACCATCATGGGCCTTGCCAAGAAGCTCTCAAGGTTTTTCCTGGCGCATATTTTAGTCATTACGGCCGATTTGCTTTCACTGGACGACCTTCAATTGTTTTTGTCACGAAGCGCTTTGGATTTCATCGCGCCAAGATTCCCTCGGTATCTTGGACAAAGCACGGATGTACATCTCTGCTAATTCCTGGTCACGACCCGCCTCTAAACATCACAATTTTTGGAGACATTGCGATTAATCCTGGTCCAGAGACTTTAATTCAAAACAATTTGAAGAGGCGAAATGAAAATCTACCGAATATCTTGGATTTGATAATATAAATACTCGAGTTATAACATACACCCGTGCTGAACTACTTGGCATTCGTCGCGCGTCTCGCAGTTTTGTTTGTGGATCAGTTCTCCATGTTTTAAAGCTAAATGGACTTCTGAGGTTTAGAGGATGTCGAGCTGGCCGACGGAAGATATCTGTACGTATTTCTGATCGAATAAGTCATACTACTTGCCGTGATAGAACCACTTCTCGCACTTCTGTTTTGGTTCCTATAGTTCCTGAACAACGTTTTCGTAGTGGAAGCTATTTAAAATTCTGTAGTTTGAATGCCAGGTCTGTGAGAAACAAATCGGTGGACTTGGTTTCCTATGTTGAATCATCTGGAGCTGATATTTTCGCAGTAACTGAGACATGGCTCTCAGAAATTGATGATGCGTGCAGAGCCGAAATTACCCCACCCGGGTACAAGCTGTTTGATCACACACGATCTGATCAATGTGGTGGTGGAACTGCTCTATTGATAAGAGAAAATCTACATGCAAGTCGTGTAGATGCTGGTGAGCGTACTTCTTTTGAGTTTTCTCATTGGATGGTCAATTTCCAGTCGCGAAAACTTCAGATTGTTATTATTTACCGTCCACCCTACTCTAGTAACCATCCTGTCACGACGAATGCATTTTTTGCTGATTTTTCGAGATTTTTGGAGAATATCATAATGTCATCTGTACCGTTACTGATAGCAGGTGATTTTAATATCCATGTAGACGTTCCGGGGAATGCAGACAGTGTTTGTTTAAAGGAGCTGCTTGAGTCAATGGGCCTTCAACAACATGTTAACGTGCCAACACACGAGTCAGGACACACCCTGGATTTTATCATTACTCGACAATGCGACTCCTTATTAGCTAACATCCCTGTGACTGACTGTCTGTTTTCTGATCACTCTACTTTGATTTGTGATCTAACCCTGGACAGGCCACCGCTCCCGAAGAAAAAAAAAAAAATCTTTCAGGAAGACAAAGGTGGTTGACGTTAACCTGTTATGCGATGAACTCTCTACAACTTCGCTTTGTACAGACAGCCCTGATGCTCTGAATGATCTTGTTAAATGTTATAATTCTACATTATCTGCGGCTCTTGATCGTCATGCTCCACTTGTCACTATGTTTATCACAGTGAGGCCTTTGGTACCTTGGTTTAGTGAAGATATTAGGGATTCAAGGAGGGAAAGACGGACAGCTGAAAGAAAATGGCGTCGATCTCGAAGTGTCAATGATTTGCTTGAATTTAAAAAGAAGAGGAACTTTACAACCTACCTGATGAATGAAGCCCGTCGTAAGTTTTACTCAGACTTTATTGTTGAAAATAACTCCAATCAAAGGAACCTATTCTCGGCAACAAAGAGGTTGCTAAATCAAGGTCATGAAGTACCTTTTCCACCAACTAGTGACAAGCTGGTTTTAGCCAATGAAATGGGTAACTTCTTTGTTGAAAAGATTGACGCCATCCATGTCAAACTGGACAGACTAGCCGATTGTTTGCATGATTCTTATTTTGACTATGTGAAAACGCTACCAACTAGAACACTGGACAGCTTTATCCCTTTAACTGAAAGTGCTGTTAGTAAGTTGATTGGCTGCTCTCCGATGAAAAGCTGTATGTTTGATCCGATGTCAACATCTATGGTAATCAGCTGTGCTGATGTGCTATTACCAGTCATTACTAAAATGATCAACCTGTCTCTTAATTCTGGAGAATTTGCGGATGATTGGAAATGTGGGCTTATTAATCCTATCTTGAAGAAACCTGGATTGGATTTGCTGTACAAAAATTACAGACCAGTTAGTAACTTACAATACGTATCCAAGTTGACTGAAAAAGTCGTTTTTAATCAAGTTTACAATCACATGGTTTCAAATGCTATTTTTCCTACGCTTCAATCTTCTTACAGGCGATTCCATAGCACTGAAACTGTACTTATCAAGGTGATGAACGATATTTTGTTAAAGATGAACTCTCAACATGTCACTATGTTAATTTTATTGGATCTCAGTGCTGTTTTTGACACTGTTGATCATCGAATACTTTTAGAGAGGCTATCTGACGAGGTTGGCATACGTGGGTCTGCTCTGAATTGGTTTAGATCGTACTTGTCTGATAGAAGTCAGCGCGTTTCTGTACATGGAGTTCTTTCTCGTCCCTTTGCCTTGAACTGCGGGGTACTCCAAGGCTCATGTTTAGGGCCTTTGCTATTCATAATATCTGCGTCCAAGCTGTTTAAGATCGTGGAACATTATCTTCCTGATGCTCACTGTTTCGCTGACGATACGCAGCTGTATCTGAGTTTTAAACCACTCGGCAACACTGCTCAAGCTGATGCTATACAAGCTATGGAAAAGTGCATTGACGCGGTGAGGAAATGGATGATTCAAGATCGGTTGATGATCAATGATGATAAAACGGAGTTTTTGTTAGTCGGCACACGACAACAGCTTGATAAATTAGATTCGTGTTCCATAACTGTGGGCAATAATCGTATCAGTCCTAGCCCATGTGTTAGAAATCTTGGATCCTGGTTTGACAGCAACTTAAGCATGACTGATCATATAAACAAGGCTTGTAATGCGGCATTTTATCATTTACATAACTTGAGACGTATTAAGAAATACCTGTCGAGAGATTCTTTAATTACTTTGGCTCATGCTTTTATAACCAGCCGTCTTGACTATTGTAATGGTTTATTGTTTGGCTTACCAAATGTGCAGATCGCTAAATTACAGCGTGTACAAAAAATGCAGCAGCAAGACTTATTCTTGGCTTTGGAAAGTTTTCTCACATTACACCGGCGCTTTATGAGCTGCACTGGCTGCCAGTTTCTTTGCGTATTGACTATAAGATTTTACTTTTGACTTTCAAATGTATTTATGACCTAGCGCCAACTTATCTTAGCGATCTTATTAGTATAAAATCGAATTCATTATATAATCTTAGGTCTACTGGTAAGCTCTTATTGGACCATCCCAAGGGAAAGATGCTTACAACATTGGGAGCAAGATCATTCTCAGCAGCAGCTCCGAAACTCTGGAATGAGCTACCTGTGGAGCTTTGTCAAGCAACATCACTTAACAGTTTTAAATCTCGACTTAAAACCTATCTTTTTGTAACTTAGTTTATTTTATTCTCACGGTAATGTATTTTCGTTTTCTTTTAAACATATGATTGTAAAGCGCTATTGATCAGCACATGAAAATACGCGCTATATAAATTGGTAAATTATTATTATTAAATACTGAATAAAACTGGTAAATAAGCTGAAAAGAATGTCTAGAGAGAGTATATTGGTTAGACTAAAACGAATCATGATATTTGATATATTCGGTTGAGAGGTTGCCAGAAACCACAAGGTTCTTACAGAGAGCCACTCGTGTTACTTTTTAACCTCTTAAATGAAGAGTGGGACTTTATACCATCAGTGTTTCGCACGTGAACTCTTCCTTAAGTGTATATCAATAGAACGTTAGCAGAGGTATAATTTTGGTCAATTCATGAATCAACATATCAATCAAGCAGGGAAGGAAACAATCTGTCGATAAACCACCGAGCTACCAATCATTTAATCAATCGATCGATCCGGTGCGACAATTTAGACATACAGTATGTAACGTAACTTATGGAAAAATGCTTTAAGCGCGTAATCTTTACTACTAATTATCAAGTACAATGACCCGATTGGTGAATCTAATAGCTTTGAATTACAAAAAGAAAAAGGCTTAACAGATGCTTTTAACTCTAAGGAAACTTCACGGCTGATAAACATTAAATAAACAGTTAATAAAAGTCATTGCAGGCGCAAATGGTAACTTATCTGGGGTCATGGGCTCCACGCCTGTGTTAAGAACAAAAGAAGAAGAAGAAGTTATTAATGCTGTGGGCGATCAAATCTTTTTGAGAATGCGATCCTGGAGAGAAACTCCTACTCTCTTCATAGTTTAGAAGGTATAGCTCTGATGATTCGCCTTCAGTAATGTCAGCTGAATGGTCATCTTTATGAATTTACACAATAATTTCCACAATCGAATACGGTGAAACCTGTATCGGTGTTCATTTTCTTAAGGTTAATTCATTGCTGAACCTTAAATAGAACGAGGTGAGTAATCTGGAACCTATTGATTGAGGTAAACATACCTTAATAAGCGATATGTGAATGCAATTTACTTTAAAAGAAAAACTCGAGAAAATTCAGCACTCGCGTCAGGGTCCACTTTAGACAGGGTATCATTTGTGACTAGCCTTTGGAGGCAAACATCTCATAAAAAGAATGCGAACATCATTTCAAGCCGAAGCTCTCAAAGTTTATTATAAAGGGCTGCCTTGAATTGACAAAGAAATTCCTAGCCAATATGAAGGATGAAATTCTAGATTTTTGCTTTACCTCCTTTAACCTCAACAGCTGCCAGATGCCCCTGACACATTCAAACGTTTGATCACGACCTCGCACGTATAGGAGTCCAGTGCCACTGCCATTGCCTTATCTGTTTCTTCGGAACTAAAGGGTGAAAGTCTTTAAGCACTGGAAAACAGTGAGACATGAAAAACTTTGAAGGAAGCAGGTAAAAAAACTGGTAAATCTGCAATCTGCAACAAACGCATGAATCTTTTTATTAAATAACTCTTTGTTTCGGATACTATTTACGATGTGTTTTTTTTGTTGAGACACACTCCTCTTTACAATGTCATAAAGGACAAAATCTGACTGTTGTTCAGACTTTTGATTCTGCCAATCATTTCCTCACTTCAGTTCTCGTGGTTAAAACAGCGCAGTTACAAATCTGGGTTGAAAAGGCTACCTTAGAGATCACCAGAGAACATAACTTTTGCAATTTTGGGCACGAAAGTTTATTCTTATTACGACTTTCTCCATGAAAGGGTATGAGTGGAAACCAGCGAAACCTGTTTGGGAATAAATTAACATCTAGGGAGGGTAACTCTCAGAACAATCAAAAATTGCTAACGCCTTTTGATAGGATATGATGAATGAAATACAGTTAAGCCAAACACTCCTATAATCACAAGTGTAAATGATAGGTTTCCAAACAAAAAATTCTCACCTTTGGAGCAAACACTAACAGCATCGTCAAAGAAGTACTCATGATCAGGCACATGGATAGAATGGCCGACATTCTGATGTACTTTCCCAAACCGAAAAATCCCAAACAACAGCAACGACCCTTGATATGTAAACACGACCGCAAAAAAAAGATACGCTTTGTATCTTCAAGTGCATTGGTACAATGCTTGGATGATAACAAGGTGAGGTCTCTTTATCAGAAACTTGACAGCGACTTCAGGCAATAGGCCAAAGGAGACAAGAACTTATGCTCAAACTTGGCTTACATCTATGAGTTGGTATGGATAGTTTTTTTTTGTTCAGCGTACGATGATCTTTCTGTTTTATACTGTTCGCTCTAACTCCTTCACCTGACCATTATCGCGGTTTAAGGAAAAGGTTCAGTTTGCATACTGCATAGATTTACTGCTGAAAGGAACAAGAAAAGAAACGACATACCACGGCCCACGACCGTTTATTTTTTACCATTATTTAAAGCAATTTCATTATGCAATTTCTAGTTTAGCGGACGTTGAGAAATGTTTTAGGAATGAAAAAGGTAACATGAGAAGCGTTGCAGAATCAATGTCAGTATCTGAGCAACTGCACCTACCCCTCAACAAACTCAAAAACAGTCAACTGATGACAAGTAAGGCCGGTTAATGTTGTTTTAGTGTAGGAGTAGGTGCGTAGTTGTTCAGATACTGACATTGATCTGCGTTTCATTACACTGAAAGTGACATTTTAAAGAGATGAAGGAACATCCTGCTCAACTTAGGACAAGGAGGAAGTATTATGAAGGTATCTCTTTCGAGAGAGCAGCGAGAGAAGCTGAGGCTGAAGAAACAGAGAGGTTAGGGTCAATCAAGTGTTTTTGAGAGCCCAGATTACCAAGCTAGATACCTTTCAGGCAGGAGGAAGAGTAATACACTTTGAAGAAAGTGCATCATTGAGATTTGTCGCAGCAGAGCACATTTGGAACAGATTCCTGAACTAGGGTTTAACATAAAACAGTTTTATTTCCTTTTAAATTCACTAGTTGGCCCACCGAGTTCTTTGATCATCAGTGTTATTCAGTCAGCGGACTAGACTGAGAATAGGAAATAAATAAAGTATGTATGTTTCAGCTGTGACAAAATAGGTTTATATAGATGCATCAAAAAAGGTCAGTGTTAGGCTATATACCTTTGTTGCATCGTATTCTTTTTCGGTCGCGCAATGCGTCCTGGCTGTCAAGTCACAAGTGTGGTGTATTAAAAAACCTAAAACTCTACAAACTCGAGTTCTTTCAGTGTGCCCTGATGACACATCTCCAGAACATCGAAAGAAACTTTACTTTTACAAGGAAACGTACAGACAACGAAGAGCGGAATGAAATAGGAGTGTCACTGTCTGATTCCAACGAGGAGCTTGGCGACAAGTGCTTCTTCGACCGAAACCTGATTGATTATTGAGACAATTTCCAAAACATTTGCATGTCTTTTACCAAGTACGTTGAATTTGTTGAAAAATACAATCAGCCTGCAGAGCAAGCAAGCGTAATTTTGGCGAGCGAGTGCTCAGTAACTTCTTAACGAAAACTATGCCCGCCATCTTTGATTTTTAATGAAAGCGAAAGGCTGGGGAGAGAAAGCAATTTGCACCAAGGGGCGGTCGACGGTCAAAAATAAGGAGAGAGGTGGAGGTAGGGAAGTGAAGAGGTCGCCTTTCCCCGCCCCCCTACCAATCAATCGTCCACTTTGACTCCAAATAAAACATGGCCGGTCGGAGAAATGATCTCGAGCTTATAACGTTAGCTGCACTGCAGGCTTCTGTATAATCAATTGATAGCGATAGCTACTTGTGTAAAATATTGATGAGAGACGTTTATAGCGGAAGTTTCAAGGTAAGAATAGTTTGTTGTTGCTACAGGATAAATTTTGTTCACAAACGCGATCGTTCTTTCTTCTTAGACTACGCCAGATCAAAAGATTTGTGGTAACACTCATGATCAGTCCTTTAACAGTACTGATATCGAAAGTAAATGATACTTAGCAAATAAAGAAGCCTTGACTATGCTTTTTTCTGTTGTAAAGTACGAAGGAAGCGGCTAGAGCACGAAAGAAGTGTAAGCAGAAACACGATCGTGTTTCTCTCCACTTCTAGAGTCGAATTTGGCCGAAGCGGACAAGTCTTTAAAAGACGCATCGCCAACAAAATTTATTCCGGGTAAAAGTAAGGCAAAATCGTTTTAATAAATAAAACTGTTATGTGTCATGTTATCTCCCTGTCGCCCTCCACTAAGATGTGTAGGTAAGTAGATGTGTAGTCAGAAACACGATCGTGTTTCTCCCTACTTCTTTAGTCGAATTTGGCTGAAGCGGACAAATCTTCAAATGCAAGCCAATAAAATTTGTCCTGGGTAAAAAAATCTACCTAGTAAACAAAACCATGATAAAGTTCTCAATCATTTGTTGTATAAGCTACAACAAGCGTGTAATCGAACCGTTATCAGTTTATTAAATCCTGGAAATTGAAAGTGGAATCCTTTGGCAACTATGCTGGCTGGTCTTATGAACAGATCAGGTGCTGACAGAATTTGTGGGCTTTGAAGTTTTTAAATGTGAATGCAACAGACAAAACAAAAATTTGTCCTTTAATTTTGTCGAGGCAATTCTAGTTTTGTCTGCTAGTGTGAAAGGCCCTAAGACTGAGGCTGTCTGAAATGTCAAACCATCAAAATTCACAATAATCTGCAATTGTTTACAAACTGAAATAACTCAGGTGGTGGAATTTAAATGTTTGATTTTTATTACTGTACATAAGATTGCAATCTAACTGACAGAGAAAACCTTAATAACATAAACTATGGCACTTGTTATGTTTACAAACCCTTGTTTGGTTCTTACATTCTATAGTACTTGCCGCCTTGCTTACCGAAATTTCTCTTTCAGTTAATGAAAAAAAACTGGAGAGAAGTCCTGCAAAAGGTTAAACATTCTGTAGTAAATTTGGCAGATAGTGTGACAGCTTTAGTTTAGCTCTATGCTTTGTACTCCAATAGTGCATGCTCTTTCAACCAATGACAGCACGCATTATATAATATATTATTACATTATATAATACTATATAATATAATTTAATGTGTACATATTAAAAGTGCGCCATTTTCATTATACATATTTGTTTTCATACAAATAATCGAGTTCTGCTTGATACAATTGATAGCTGGGAGATGTTCAGACTCAGAGGTAAACTGTGACTTATTTCAATACTCTTTCACTCCCTCACTTGGTTTTTTATTTGTTTCTATGGATTCTTGTTGGTCAACTCTATTGCAAATAACTTAAGCCGCAAGTTGGGATTGTTATAGCTAAGATTTTAAAGTTTGGATCACATTTATTTGTCAATTGATTATTTGTTAGGTCTGGCGATAACTTCAAATTTATGTTACATGCAGGGTTCATGATCCAAAGATACTATGAGTCCAATCTATATATTACCTATTTTCCTGCATCATAGGCACCTTCTTTATTTTCGTTTGCTTGGCCTTTAGTCATCATTTTGAAAAATCATACTTAATGACCAACCTCTGTTTGCAGAGACTCAAATCAAATTGCCCTTCTGAGAAACTTAAAATGTCCTAAACCAGGACTGAGGTGGTTTAATTTTTTTGAAGCTGATCTGCAAATTTTCTTACCACCAAGCTGTGACACTAATGTATCTGTTGCATATATGTATATATATATATACGACAAATATTACATTTATGTGACAGAAATGTGAAGATTGTGACATGATTGCGCATGTATGTGAGTCATATATGTGATGTGACATACAGTATATGTTGGATATGTAATTATGTAGAGGATATTTGTGATGTTCATGTAGTTTTGGTAAGGTTTCACAGCCAGCTGGTTGCACTTTCACATTCTGTGCACATAATATGTATTTTCAGTTTTCTATATATTGCAAGATGCATATGCATATGACCTAAGGCCAATATCTTCAAAATTTTCTTTCCAGAAGTATATTACTTATTTACAGTGTAATGAATTGATGCCTGCAGTTGTCTTAAACTGTGATTAAATGGGCAGTATGATATTCTGGCGGCTAATTATTTTGTCAAGGCAAAATAATTGTAAATTCAATTACATGTTAATGCTTTGCTTAGGGTCATTCCTTAGTGTTTACATTTTCACTGTGTATAATTTCACATGTAACTATAGTGCATTCTTCATAAGTGTAATATATTGCTAGTGATATAAACCCACGAGGTCAAACAACATGGCCGCTTCAACACAACTTTATTCCAGCAGTGTATTCTGGGTACATACACAGTAACCCTAGAGGGTACTTAATATATTACACTGCTTTCCCCTTACAAATAAGATATCCTTACAAGTAACACAATAGTAGCTATAACATTCACTACAGGTTCAGTCGGTCAACAGGTTTCCTAATTCTCTCTGATCGCCTCAGAACAACCGGCGATGGTGTGTTTACATTCTCTTCACTAATACTAGAATTAGGCTCATCATCTTTATCTGAAAAATTGACTGGTGGCTGCGGCACCCCGGATGAAACTTGGCTATTATCTACACTTAGAGTGGGTTGCTCACACAGTTCTGGGACAGGTATGTCCAACTCTCTAGTTTCATGTGGCACCTGATCATGTGCTTTAATTAAATGATCAACATGAACATATCTGGTCTTATAGCCAGTCTTAACTAAATATGTTCTGGGTCCACAGACCTTAACTACCCTTCCCAGAATCCACCTCTCAGTATTGCTACGGGCTTGAGTATTTCTCACTCGAACTGTCATTCTCTGCAAACAGCCTATCTTGATGACCCTTTAAATCCTTATATTCCTTCTGCTTATTTTGTTTACTCTCTACGGTTTTGGCTAGATCAGGTTTCACTAGAGTTAAACGAGTACGCAGTCTACGTCTCATCAACAGTTCTGCTGGCGTAGCACCTGTGGTGCTGTGTGGGGTGGTACGGTATCTCAAGAGGAAGGCTGCTAGTCTATGTTTGATAGACCTTCCCTTGTTTCCCTCTAGAACTTGTTTGACAAGCGCCTCCTTTACCACCCTGACTGATCTCTCAGCAGCACCATTTGATTGTGGGTGATAAGGAGGAGTTAGGGTATGTTTAATGCCATTTTTATACATAAACTCAGCAAACTCACTTGAAACAAATTGTGGCCCATTATCTGATACCAACTCCTCGGGCAAACCATGTTGGGCAAATATAAGACGCAACTCATTTATGGTTTTCTCTGTGGTGATTGAGGTCATGTGCTTAACCTCTATCCATTTTGAAAAACTATCAACCACCACAAAAAAAAAATCACTCCCTTTCTGACAAAAATCAACATGAATACGCTGAAAGGGTCGCGTGGCCCATTTCCAGGGTATCAATGGGGCACAAGGTGGAGAGGTCCGCACATCCTGACACACTGAGCATAGTTTAATCTTTTGTTCAATTTCCTCATCCATCTTGGGCCACCAAACACAGGTGCGTGCTATTGCTTTCATTGCACAAATGCCTGGGTGCTCCCAATGCAACTCCTCCAACATCTTTTCCCTAAATACTGGGGAATGATCACCCTGGAACCCCAGAGAATGCAATTTTGTTCGCAAGAAAGTTCATGTCGACGGGTGTAATAGGGTTTTAAATCTTCATCACAAACCTCTGGCCACCCCACCATGACCCAATCAAGTACCTTGCTTAACCCTGGATCCATCAATGTAGCTTTCCCAATCTCTTTTGCAGTTATGGGGAAATCTTTGTCAATGGCACTTACATTGTAAATCTCACTCTCACTGCCAATCTTAGACTCTTCATGGGGTAATCTAGAAAGGGCGTCACAGTTGCTGTGCTTCTCGGAGCTCCTGTACTCAATGTTATAGTCATATGCTGAAAGGACAAGTGCCCAGCGCTGCATACGGGCAGCTGCAAGTGTGGGTATAGCAGCTTTTGGGCCCAAAATAGCCAACAATGGCTGGTGGTCAGTTACTAAAGTGAACTTTCGTCCATATAGAAACTGATTAAATTTTTTTACCCCGAAAATAATAGACAAGGCCTCCCGTTCAATTTGAACATAATTTTTCTCACTTGAGCTGAGGGTACGTGACGCATATGCTATTGGCCTTTCTTGACCATCCTCCATTACATGACTAAGCACTGCCCCCAAACCATAACTCGATACGTCACAAGCTAACTTAAGCTCACGATTTAGATCATAGTGGACCAACAGCGACTCACTGGTGAGGCCCTCCTTGCATGCCTCGAAAGCTTTCTGGCAGTCATCTGTCCATTCCCATTGAATAGTTTTCTGCAAAAGCCTATGCAGAGGTGCTAAGGTTGTAGCCAGCCCTGGCAAAAAGGAATGATAATACTGAACCATGCCCAGGAAGGACCTTAATTCACTCACATTCTTTGGGGCTGGGGCTCTTTTCACTGCACTGATCTTCTCCTCCACCGGTTGCAGGCCTTCGGCACTTATTCTCAGACCTAGATAAACCACTTCAGGTTTCAAAAACTCGCATTTTGCCAGTTTTAAATGCAAATTGTATTGGTGTAGCCTGTCCAACACATCAGCAAGTATCTTGAGATTCTCTTGCCAGTCATTGCCCCCTATTAAGATGTCATCTTGTTTACAAACACATTTTTCAATTCCCTGAAGAATTTGATCCATTTTTGCTTGAAAGATTTTTGGGGATGACTTGACCCCATAGGGCAATTTCTGGTAGGAATAAAGGCCTTTATGAGTGGTAATTGTCAAGTACTCTTGACTTTCTTTGTCAACATTCAACTGGGCATAGGCATGTGATAGATCAAGCTTACTAAATACCTTAGAGCCAACCAGAGCAGCATACAAATCCTGAGTAGTAGGTAAAACATATTGCTCATCTTCAACTGACTGATTGATACTGGATTTGTAGTCTCCACACATTCTGACAGTGTTATCAGCCTTTGGCACTACCACAATTGGGCTAGCCCAAAGTGACCTGTCAACTTTCTTAATAACACCATGCTTTTCTAGTTTGTCTAACTCTTTTTCGACTTGCTCTTTTAAAGCGTATGGAACCCTACGCGCTTTCACGAATACAGGTTTTGCATCGCCTCTCATAGTAATATGGGCCTCAAGGCCCGTCATACCTTTGTAACTCTCAGTAAACAATTCGCTATGTTTAGATAGCAACTCATTCAGTTGACTATCAGCACTCCTAGGGTCTCCCTTGGGAATACAAAATATCTCACCCCACTCAAACTTAATGTGCCGCAGCCAGTTTTTTTACCAAGTAAAGTAGGTTTTGCATCATAATTGGCTACAAGAATGGGTAGAGAGTATTGTTTACCCTTATACACTATGTCACACTGCATTTCCCCTGACACATCAAGTAATTCACCCGTGTATGTCTTAAGTGTTACTTTGGAAGGAGACAGAGGCTTGTCTGCAAACCTCTCTAGATATTCACTTCTACTCATTATTGAGAAATCTGCAGCTGTGTCTAACTCCATCATACACAGTTTACCATTGATTTCCATTTCTACAGTGTACCTATTGCAATTAGGCTTGTTTTGGTCAAGCGAATTCAGAGAATAAATTCCTAATTCCTCATCCTCACACTCATCATTGCCTGATTCTGAAGCCTGTACACTATGAATTTTACCCTTTTTTTTTCATCCTTACTGCGACAAACAGAAGCTAAATGCCCAATCTTGGAGCACTTGTAGCATTTTGCTGACTTAAATTTACAAGACTGACCTGAATGATTACCCCCACACCTAGGACATGACAATTGTTCAGTGTTCTTCTTTTCAGTGTTTTTACTTCCTTGTTCTGTCAACTTGTTGACTTGAACAGTTTCACTGCGTGAAGGGTGAAATTCTTGGGTGTTCCTGTCTGCCATCTCCATGGTCTTGGCAATACTGCAAGCCTTTTCGAATGTGAGGTCATCTGTGTTCAGTAGTTTGTTTTGTATCTTCGGATTGTTCAGTCCGCATACGAATCGGTCACGTAACGCCCGATTGAGGAATTCACCATAATTACAGTGGACCGCCAATCTCTTCAAAGCCAGCACATAATCGCTAACTGATTCTTCGGATTTTTGATTTCGCGAGCCAAAGTGAAAACTTTGTGCGATTTCCAGGGGCTTCGGGTTGTAGTGTTTCTCCAAGACTTCCACAATGTTAGTGAATGACACGTCCTTCGGTTTAGTGGGCGCCAATAAGTTGCTGATGGTTGTGTATACCTCCGGCCCCACTTCTGTCAGGAAAATGGCACGTTTCCTGTTCGCTACCACAAGGTTGGTGGCAGCGCTTCCCTCTCCTGTTGTCGTTACAATGTTGTTGGCTGTAAAGAACATTTCCATCCTCTCAACGTAGGCACTAAACGTTTCACGTGCGACGTTGAACTCGCCAACACATCCAAATAATCCACTCGCAATAGTGCTGGCCATCTTCTATGCCACAACACACACAGCGTTGTCCAAAGACCTTGCACTTTTGAATGACGTGGAAAAAAGACCGATCCTCGTCGCCAAAATGTAATATATTGCTAGTGATATAAACCCACGAGGTCAAACAACATGGCCGCTTCAACACAACTTTATTCCAGCAGTGTATTCTGGGTACATACACAGTAACCCTAGAGGGTACTTAATATATTACAATAAGAATGGTGCCTTTTTTCCTCCATCAGAGCCAATCAGAGAATAAATTGTCATTTTCTCACAAAAATGAGCTGGGAGACCTTCAGTGTAACATTATTTCTCTTTCTTGAAATTGAGAAATTATTTTCTTTCTGTCAAACAACTATAAACCAATTTTTAGTTAAGGAAAAGGAAAAAAAAAGCAGAAATGCCAATGTAGCAAATACTCGCAAATGCAACTGTCATGATATGAATTGGAATGATATAAATTTCTAGAAGGTACTGCTGCTCATAAAAGAGCATGGGACTTCCCTTTTTTATTTCATATTTTACTTTCCCTTAAGATCAACAGCCAAAATATTCAGTTTGACAACAATCTCAGTGCTCTATGTTCTATGGAATGGCTCAAAGTCAATGTATTTTATTAATTGCTCTGTATTGTTTCTTTTACAGAAGCTGATTGGTATTGTTATAAGTTAGAGTAGAAGAAAGCACTTTGAGGAACATTGCTGGTCCACCAACAATTAATTATGATAAACTTTTGAGGTCATTTCCCGGAGCAGTTGCAATTCAATCAGAAAGATGGGTAAGATATCTTTTCCTTTTCTTTATGTTTAATTAAATCTGCTCAAAGAGATGGAGGTGGCATTGTAGCCGGGGAGACAGAATTGATACTTTTATAATAAAAATTTTGGTGGGTAAGTTTTCCTACTGGTGACAGAGATGCACTGGCAGATGATTGCTAGCATTCTGGAGTTAAGATAAAGAGGTCTGGGCTCTAGCTTTGGCTAAAAAGTCATTGTGTTGCAGTCTTGGTGTAGGCCTAAAATCCTAAAAGGTGGCCTAAAAATCTATCTGTACATTCTCAAAAGTGTCTTTAAACCTCATTTCATCCCTTAAAATCACAAAATATTTTCTTAAAGTCCTGACTTATCTCCAATTTTTTTAGAATTAATCACATAATTTGGATAAAATGTGAGATTCCAGTGGTGAAATTGCATGGTAACAACTTCAAACTGACTCAAAATGATCATTTATTCATGAGACAATCTAAGTGGTTTGTCTCCTTACAGTTGGAATGTTTCTTTCAAACAATCAATAACAACAACCGCTGATTGGTAATATTTGTATGGAAGGAGCCTGTTTGCAAAAACTTCAATGAACCATGCAATTTTTTATGCTATTGGCTGTATTTGTTTTTTAACACCATCTTGACTTTCTGCTGATTAGCCAAGCTTTTAAACCAAGATCTTGTAGAACTTTTCATCTGACACAGGCAAAGGTAAAATACCCCAGGGTTTCACTAGGGCATGTTGAGGCTTGGAATTGATTGGTGCATTAAAATCCAAACAGAACTACACCTTTTGAAATGGCTACATTTGATTCACATTTCTTAAGAGTATTAAGAGTAATCCTATAATAAACTCCTGTTAGAAATGGATGCAAACCCTTAAGAATTTGCAATTTGTGTTGGAGCAAATTTGTTGTTTTATAGATGAATTTTTGTTGGTTAAAGTTTAATGAATTGTCTCTGTAGCACATATTCTTAAAGTGGAGTGGGCTCACCTAGTTATCAATGGTATTTCAGGGTATGCAGATGGAACTGAAGCAAACCAAAGCTGAAAAACATTTCCTAGAGCATGGCAGCCTCTGTCGTTGACAACATTCTAAAGAGCTACCATGTTTTTAAAGATAGGCCACATTATGAAGGTAAAACAGATCATCATTAATTATTTTTTAATACACCTGGATATTATTCTCCCCAAATATTCTTCCCACCCCCACCCTCCTTTCTTCACTAACGTGAACATGTAAATGGACATTTCACATAACTGAGTTATTACAAAAAATTTAAGTTTTGGAAAACTTATATGTATAATAGCTTATGATGAAATTGGCCTGAAATTGGAAAAAAATAAAATGAAATTGTTGATGTTGTTGTTAATGTTGTATTATTCAAAATTATTTAATGAACCTGGACAATACTTTATGTTTCGTTGGGGCAAATTCGAGTTGGGAAGAAATTTAGTCTCAGTCAGTAACGAAATCAAAACGAAGGAAGATCATTTCTGCGTTTGTAAATTTTCACGTAGTTTTCTGGTAGCGCAAAATTCATTAAAGCAACTTATCTTTGAAACGTTTCTCAGTTCTGTCGTAGCCTAGTCCACTCACCGCTTAGTTGGATTTTTGGATTTCGGAGGAGTCTATTCTGGAGCGGGATTGTAGAAACACTCTTTCGGAAATCAAATAAAAATGCAGCTAAGCCAAGAGAAATTACTGAGAAATATCTTCTTGAAGTCCTTGTAACACTCGGCTTTTCACAGTTGCTACATGAGATGACTTTTATGTGCTCACTGAACATTAATTCTGCATGTGTTTAGATTTTCGAGGGAGCAAATTAATGGGTTTTGTTTTTTAACTTTTTTGAGCTGCTACAGATCCAATCCCCGACTACATACAGGCGAGGGGACCGGTGGCACTAGAAGCGTACAGGAGAGCACTGGAGACAGGCGAAACCTGCGATAGACGTACCAAAATTGTGTTGATTGGTCAGGATCGTGTAGGCAAAACAAGTCTGAGAAGGTACCTCAGAGGTGAAGCATTTGATAAAGATGAAGCCAGCACTAATGGGATTGAAATGATTTCCCCTGTCAAGAACGCAGGAAAAGGGGCATGGAGGAATCCAGAACTGCTTGAAGACACAAGTGCACTTGACCACAAGTGCGCAGAAGTGGTCGCAAAGGAGTTACTCGGCAGCTTTAGAGAACGATCAGATAGGGCCCAACAGTTAACTGGAGAAGGTAAGAAGACGAGAGGCTCAGAAATAGGTGACGTTCCGGATGAAAAGAAAATAAAACATATGCCTAGGTAGAATACAATTAAAAAACAATAGGGAAATGCGAAACAAAAAGGAAGACGGAAAAAAAGATATTGCTAGCGCCTGGAGTCGATCCCTCGACCTTTCACGTGTAGGGATGAGCACTTTCCATGGCGCCAGTTTTGTAACGTCAACATGTCATTTTGAATGCGTTAAGCTCGTAAGGTTTCTGCCCATGCACTCGCGTGAAACCATGCGATATTAGAAGGGTTTTTTTTGGCACTGGTCGCTGAAGGAGTGAGCGATTTCAGGTGAGGCGAAGCTTTTGTATATTTTTAGTTCTTATACACAAAGTAAAAATTCAGTCAATAATGTTAGAATTACTATTGCTTTGAACAACCGGTCCTGGATCATACTAAGCTTAACTGGTATTCTTCTGTATGTTGTTGCACTTGAACAGCGTGTTTAAGAAACGTAATAACTGATTAAAAATATCAATTTTAGTTTTCCAGGAAGTCAAAAGTGAGCGAAAACCAGAAGAAGTACCCACGAAAGTTCTTTCCCTCGTAGAGCGTGGCCTCAAGGGAAACGACACCTCGGACAATAAGGATATATGGCCTTTTGTTTGGGATTTCGCCGGCCAGGCAGTATACCATGCCATTCATCCAATTTTCCTATCGCAAGAAGCCATATATGTCCTAGTGTCAGATCTTACTATGGAGCTAAGTGCACCTGCCCAATGTCGGATAAGACCGCCTAATCATGATGAAATAGTGGTAAACTCGCCTTACGTCGCGGACACTAATCTCGATCACATGATGAGATGGCTGGACTTGGTGCACTCTTTGGGACGGCCAGAGTTTCAGAGGAAGTCGGCGGATACTAACGAAGTTTTTCCTCCTGTGGTGCTTGTGGGTACACATGCTGATGGTGTAAGGGATCCTAGCAAGGTAATGGAATCTGTAAATGAAACCATTTGCAGCATGGCTCATCCAGCAACCTTAGGCCATATTTCAAAAGAATTATTCTTCATAGATAACACAAATCCAAACAGAGAAGACGACCCACAGATCGTTTCTTTGCGTGCGGAATTATTGAATCTAGCCAGAAAAATGCCACATATTAAAAAGGTAATCCCTATGCAGTGGCTCCGTGTGGAACAAAAAGTCGACGAAATGGTGAAAGAAGGGATGCATTATGTTGGTAAGAAGCGTTTTGCAGAGGACATTTCTGGAGGCATTTGCAAGTTTAATGATACAGATGACGTCGAAGAATTGCTACACTTTTTACAAGCTCGCGGAAGAGTTATCTACCAAGATCTCCCTGAAAATCCAGATGGTTTGGTCGTGCTGGATCCGCAGTGGTTAATTAAAATACTATGTGAGATAATTACGGTGAGTCCACCATGGAGAAACAACCCTGTCGTTCAGAAAGATTACCAAGTCCTTGGAAAAAAGGGACTGCTTTCGCGGCAGTTACTAAATCGAGCGTTTGAACACCTTAAATTGAATAATATTAGGAGTTCACTGATTCATATTATGGAAAGCTTTGATGTTATATGCAACTCTAAGAACTGCAAGGGGGAAGATTACCCTTATTTGGTTCCTTGTATGCTGGAATCACCAAAGAAGAATACGAGAGGCACAAACATGCGCAGTGGCCCTTTGCCCGTATTTCTCACATTTAACACCAACTACGTTCCATGCGGGCTGTTTTGCAGACTGGTTGTACATTTTTGGGAATGGGCCTCACAATTATGTGGCTCCTGTATAGCCCCCTCGTTGTTTTCAAACGCCGCCCGATTCAATGTCAGTGAAGAGTACCAGCTCACTTTAGAGTGTCACAAAACTGTGATCAAGTTGATAATCTGGAAACCGCGAGACTCGGATAAAATGGAAGAGAAAAGAATCTGCGGAGATTTATTGAGGTAAGCCACAAACATGTGCGGCATTATTTCGTTTCATTTAAACTGGATATTTACTGTTAAAGCAATATTAAATGGAATACCAAAATCAAAGAAATATATGAGATACTGTCACGTTGCCGTAAATGAAGGGAAACTTAAAAGGTCTTCTTTAATTTTCTTGACTTTTTAAATCGTTCTGATCCTTATAACAGATTTTTTGGATTTAGAACCCTTTTTGGGTTCCTATTTTTTCGATTAGGTGGGAGGCCTTCAGTTTAATGTACGATACAATGAGTCATGCTTGCGTTATTCGCGTTGTTGATGTCCTTGTTGCTATGTTTGTTCATTGCAGTCATCTGGAGCATTGCAGGACTAGGCTAAGCATCACCTGTCCGTGGCTACGATCAGTTACGATGGAATTGTTCGTGAAATGCCAGTTGTGTGAACCTTGTCCGGATAAGTGTCGTGACAGAACCAATATTTGCATATTGCACAAAGAGGAAGGCTGCTCTCATTTTGACTGTGGCCACTACATTCCATTAAAAAGCTTTGGCCTGAGTTGTGAACACTCTGTTGATGCTGTTCCCTACTATCCTGCAGAAGAACTGGATCCTTGGGTTCAGGTTAGAAAAAAAAACTTAATTTAATTTACATAAAGTGATTCAGGAGAATTTGAAACTCACGGTTAGCAGATAGCTCTGTCGCACGCAACACTTTCGTAGGATATTCGATTACCATCAAAACCTGAATTTGTCCAGGCTTTATCTTTTACAAATACTTCAAAATTTCTTCTAGCTGCAATGATCTTTCTTTAATTAACAACTTTTGTGTGATTAGCACTATCTCCTCCTGCTTTTTAGGCTTTGAAATCTCCTGGACGTAAGAAACGAACTGGTAAGTTTTTTTCATCAGAAAAATTTTTTTCATAAATAGCTAAGTCAGTATCAGTTTGCTGGAAAGAAACTTGTCCGCCTAGTAAAATGTAGAGATACAGGAAATACTGTGTGAAAGTAGAGGAGTTCGATTGTCGCCAACCGCTTCTTGTGGGGAAAGCAGTGCATGACATCTCAAAAGGAGACCAGAAGGTACAACGTAGACTCCATGAAAGTGACCTCGTATTCCAGCTCCTTGTTTCGCTGCCACAGTTATTTATTGATAAAAAACTGTTATCTTTATACTCACAATTACCATTGCAAACTTCCTTTTTAACGACTCTGTCTTTCTACACTGGCTATTATTTTACAGAAAGGATAGTTTTTTCCAATTTTTTTTGCTCGAATTTTAAAGGACGCATGTAAATGATAGGTCACCAAGCTAAAAAATAAAGATATTCAGTTTGTGTACGTAGGGCTCCTTATCACCTGTAAAATGAAATGGCCGTAAACGACAGAAAAACCTGAAAACTTTTTAGCGGATAAGGAAAATCGTCAAGGCTGTGTACAAGCTTATCTGTAGACCGAAAAAATCTGCTCCAATTAGTTTTCCATAACATTTGTTAAGAATGCGATACAAGTGTGCAAGTGCCACAAGTGCCCTTGCAAGTTTTCACTTTTAGTGAATGTCTTTTATTTTACCCAAGTTGTTTGTTGTATGGAAAATATTTTTTTCAAGTTTTTCGCTCGATGGCAAACTAGAGATATAAATGGTATATCACCAAATTCGTTTACGTGGCCATGACAATTTTTTCTTCCCGGTAGAAAAAAAAAAAGAACAAGAAATCATCCGTTCGCGTATGTGGACGTGCATATTTCGTGTAAAATGATGCGTAGTGTAATAGCACGACCTTTCCTTGCAACAAATTCCTTAGGAGACGTTTCATTAGGAAAGGAAAAAAGCTCTATTGCCACAATGAATCTGTTGGCTCAAAAAAAATCTGGTCTAGTAATTTTTTTTTAAAATTGTTATCATGCAGGTGGCCGTAATGGAGAGTCGTCTCCGTGTGACGCCTTAACTCCAAAGAAAGGAGAAACTCGTTTTGAAGGTGAAATGACATATCTATGGGTGTGCCTGTTAACCCCCACCCCTCAACCCCATTTTCCCGCCCCTTGTCTTTGTAAAATGAAAATACGTGGATTCAGCAAAATGGGATGAATTTCGATACGTACCACTCGCTATTCCCTCATCTTGATGCTTTGCTGTGATTTCTTTATGTTTATAGTCAAGCAAGGAGTTCCCAGTGACGAAGAATTAGAGGGGCTTTCGTACCAACTCGAAAATTGGGAGGAACTCGGGCGTCGTCTCAAATTTGAAGAAGCAACATTAACAGCGTTTTACGATGACTATAAGAAAAAGCGTCCAAGAATCTACAAAATGTTACTACATTGGAAACAGAAGAATGGCTCAGCTGCAACGTACACGGTCTTACGTGATGCATTGTGTCATGAATTTGTTAATCGCACAGATTTAGCTGAGAAACTTTGCTATCAACAACATGAATGACTGTTTACTTCGTTGACTCATAGATAGCTTTTATTTCTATTTTTACTGATTATTCCACTGTCAAATGAACATGTATTCCCAATATGGCTACACTATTACAATGTGAAGTACTGAATCAATAATCTACCTTTTTCTCGTTGGATCGTTTTTCTTTCTATATTTTGAATGAAAAGCGTCGTGATAAAGTATATTGCTAGTTATAACCCACCCATCACTTTTCGCGCGACTCTATTGGCTACTTTATGACACGTGGTGCATCGGGTAGTTTTAACAAAATAACCACCATTTACGTTCATATTTGTCCCCCGATTATTTCCTTCGAAAAGAGGTAAAGTCAGCGGAAAAAAAGCCGGTTTAAGAGTTTCACTTTTTTATCTTCATTACTAAACATTTTGTGGAGTTCACTGGTAGTGATATTAAAAAGCTGATCTTAAATGCTGGTCCAGAAAGTAAAAAAAAGTCAACAAAATTTTTTTTGTCAACGTGCGATACGAAAATTAATGGGAGGGTTATGAATTAAATAAACTCACTTCTGGTATGCTGGTATTTCGGGTGATAATTTCCTTGAGAGAGAAATTGTCTTGAAATTTTTACCGTTCAGCCTCGAAGCTTCGCTTATCAACCAAAAAACTCTATTTTCGGATATTAGCTTAGTCGCAGACATAATCAGCCGAAATACTAGTCGCCAGAAGAGGTTTACGTACCAAACATTCGCTGAGATGCTCTATCAATACCAGTGCAGTGTTGTCGAAGGCATACGGCATGTTACGCATTTGCATCTGAAGTGATATCTATACGTACTGCTCATGCATTCTTCCTTTAATTGTTTGACAGAGAGGTTTGATGTGAATCCGAAATTCAGCGTGTCAAGAATCTCACGCCGATAACACTAATGTATGTCATGTTTTGTAGGTAATACTGAGGTTCTACGATAAAAGTGAATTTTTGTTGGTTTCTGTTAGTACATTAGCTAATATGTAAAAGTAATCACATGATTTCGAGTGTAATTTGGAATATATAAGCACGAGGAAATTTTTTCAAAGACTAACAAAATTGCATTGAATTACCTGAAAACTTTATTTATCTTAACCAATCAGAACTGAGTTATTTTTTCACGTATCTTATTAATCGATCAAGAAATTGAGAAAAATGTCGAGTTAAGTCACTTTTTGGCAAAGAATTTGTGTAATCTCGAGGAAAAGACTCCGTAAATGACTAGGCAACAAAAGGTTCCCTTACACTCGATTATGCTTGGCAAAAGGCAAAGTTCTTGAAACAGTCAGCTTGCCTGATAATGATATGCATTTGATATTGGAAGTTCATCTTTGGTTCATTGCCTACGAGAATTTACGGTGTAGAATATTAGTCAACGAAACTTTTCCGTAAAAATAAATAAAAGGTTTGAAAGAACTAACGGCCTATAAAATGATTCTATAGCAAGGGAAAAAATGTTTTGTAAAAACAAACGGTAGAGGTTTATAATTTCATCTTGGATTGCTTACTGCTTTTTAGCTGGACGAAAACAAAATATCAATTTGCCATTATTTTTTTTGTGTGTGTCTTTTGTCCTTTGGAAAAGTCTGAGAATTCTCGGTTTTCGATTGAGTAGTTTGGTTGGAGCCCAATCGTTGAGCAATTATGCTGTTTTTCCGGAATAGTTGTTGTGGGTAAAATTTCTTTCTACCAAATAGTGAGAAGTAAAATCTTTATAAAGCGAACAGCTGGAGCAGCAGTTATTGTCTATTCATAACAAAAAAGTTGCACCTCAAATTTATTTTTTGGCATGAAATTGTGACCGACAGCTAAATAAAAAAAAAAAATTTTTCGGAGCTTTCAATATCTTTGATGGTTTAAAGTACTGAATATCACTTTTTCCAATCGAATGTTGCAGACCTGACGCATTTAGGAAGCTATACAGGAAACCAATTCTCTGTTATGAAGCCGCGATTCTATAATGATAAAAATAAGTCTCGATAAATCCACAGTATTTTCTCATTGAAAACTGAGATACTTGCTAAGATGAAGTTTGCACGTTGGCACATGGCTGTTAACGTTGTAGGTGGGTAAGTATCGTTAAGTGTCGTCGCTCTTTCACATCAGGAGCCTTGACAAAAATTCTGACTTTAACTTGAGTTTGAGTTCCTAGACTAAAGACCTTCGCTTCCCATTCTTCTACAATAGTACGGACATTTGCCATAAGAAACTTTCAATGAAACTTATTTTCACGATATGGAACTTGACAGAAAAATCAGAGTGAATGAAAAAAAGCGAATGCAAGGCCATCGTAAAATTTGAGATTTATCATGTCTAAAGACTTTTTCAATCTACTTATGCCGTATCTACTGTGTTCTGCAGCCTAAACTTTAAATATAACAAACTGATATTTCTTAGACATAAGCAATATTATTTCGGCAACTGCTTGCAGGTTAAGGTCCACAGTCGGTAACATCAAAAAAGGAAGGTGAGGCGTCCTCATGGAACTAAAGTTTTTTCAATTTTATTTTCTTCAATTGTTAGTTAACAGGAATACATACGTTGTTGAAAATGACGGAATGGAAAAAAAAAAAGGAAAAAAAAGTATGCGAACATTATTTCAAGCCGAATCTCTTTAATTTTATCATAAAGGTCTGCCTTATCTCAATAACTGCTAGATGCCCCTGGCACATTCAAACGTTTGATCACGACTTTGCACGTGTAAGGGTTCAGTGCCACTGCCATTGTCTCATCCGTTTCTTCGGGATTTGTTTCCTCTGGTAAGGACATGGCTTCGTTTGCTTTAATAAGAGAAAAAATTTGATCAAATCTTAATGGAAAAAATGAGAGAATTAAGATGAATTGAATACGGTGCATCTGGTTTAAACCTCGTTTGCTTTCGATTGTAATTTCCTTAGAAGACATTTCAGTTGTTACACTGTAAAATGAAAAGAGCCAAACTGACCCCAAAAGCCAAATTGGCCCCAATTTCTCGAGGGCCAGTTTGGCCCATCAAGGTTCGTTTTGGACTATTTGAGCCAAAACGGGCGGGACAGGTACCATTTCGACCCCTCCAAAATCTGAATTGGCCCCTATGAATTCTACTTTGGAACTTTTTCTCAATTTGGCCCTTCCAAGAGCCAAGTAGGATTGACCAATTTGGCCCCAACGAGGTGCAGTTTTTGAAAAAAAAAGAAAATATAAAAATAATTTTTTTTCGATCATATTTCGTTCCCTATACTATTCCTTATAAAGTGTTCAAATTTTCAACGGTTCCTCTCGTAACTGAACACCGAGTCAGACAACGAATTAATCGTTGGCTTTTTCTCGAGACGTGAGCGTGAGCTGCCTGTGATGGCATTAGTCGAACCTAGACCACGTGCGTCGGAAACAATAATGAATTATAGTAGCGAATTCGTCACTGAAGAGGCTGTTTCTTGGCTACAGTCGCATGGAATGAGACTTAAGAAAGGAAAGGTAGGCAAAAGAAATTTTTTAACAACGTATTTTACTGCAACTTTACATTCACAAACTTGACCGCTCCATTGATCTTTGTTCGTATTTTATCTTGCAGAAAAAGACGTTTGCGATGGCCAAGATCTCCTTGCCATCGCCCAAGATGCAGACGTACCAAGGCACTACATCCTTAGTATAAAAGAGCGTCTAAAGCTCAAGAAATTGATTGCAATGAACGCTGAACCTAGAGATGACATGAGTTCTTAGTCGGTACGATAATTAATTTTCCCACCAGAGAATTTGACGCATGAATGGTTCGCCTCTTCTCCCGAGTCTTGTTGAGTCTCAGCGGTTTCGCAACTAAAGTCACGTGATCAAATTTTGGCGCCGAGAGATAGAGACGGTTACAGTTCGAATACTGCATTTGCACAAGATGGATTTAACTTATTTCAAGATTCTCTGATTTTAGGATCTCTCACTCTGAATTCTTAATCTTCTTCTTGAAAAGATGAACTGATATTTTTATGTCTATGTCTTTGTTTGCATCCACTTAAGCTGATTTTTTGGCTCTCACTCTTTCAGCGTGCAGAATCAAGTCCTTCGAGTAAGACGGTTCAAACGTCGATTGATGATTCAGATAACATCAGCGATTATGAAAATTTAGAGGTGACATTGGCACCGAAAGAAACGGGTAAATCGCCCAAGGATCTCTGTTTTACAGACGAGGCGACAGAACTGAGCACTGTCTACGTAAGTTCTTGTATATTAAACTTAGCAGGATGGTGAAGAGTACATTATCGATTACTTTCTTTCGAATAATCCTAAAGGAAAACACACAAGGTGCCAGTTGGTCAGTTAAAGTTGACAAATCTCGGGGATTGCACCTACAAAAATGGCGAGATTTGCTTTATTTTTATTGAAATATATTAGATATGTATTTACTTGCACCATGCATAAAACAAAGTAAACCCAATTTTAAATCTGGTAAATTAAAAAATTAGTGAATTGATAGGATGTTATCAGACAGTTTAATTTTTTTGAAAACAAATATTTACCTACAGGATCCTCCTGAATGGCCTTCAAAATTCCAACTACCATCGAGGGTAAGAAACTTTTCTTTGGTTTGTTTTTTAAGTCTACAAGCAATACTTATTTATTCATGAATACTGAACTAAAACTGAAGTGCATAGAGGTATGATTTCTTTTCTTGATAAGTACATAATTATACAGTTTGGTGAAAATACATCATGGATGATTACCATTATTGTGTTTTTACTTCTTATGCACAGTTTGCTTACAAATATTTTGCAACTTTGTAGTTGCAAAAATTTACTGTTCTCCAACAACAAATTAATTTGCTCATTTGTTTGTTTTTTTGTACAGTTCTCTGCCTCAGTAGAGTTGGATACCCAGAAGGGATATCTTATCAGCAGCCTAAAGTACTCTGAGCAACAGTGGATTGCAAAAAAAAAATTATTACAGAGTATCCTTGTATGGTTAGCTGGATACTAGACTAAGTTAACTTGGAAACTGAATGGATTGGTATGGTCTAAAACTCTATTGCTTCACCTCTTCTGCTTGCAGTGAAGAGAGACAATTTTGTGGTGCTGAATCTCTTGCCTTAAACTAAAAAGTTGCAAAATAATAACTCTCACCTTTTAAGTTCATGACCTTTGTTCTTGTGTGTTTGTCATCACATGCATTTAATGAAGTTGTGACCATTTTGGAGGTACAAGTCCAAAAAACTGCTACTTTGGTACTAAGATGAACAGCTAAAATTTCTGAGCCCATTTGCCAATGAAGTCCAGATACAAAGGTTCAAGTACTTTGGGGTTGTATTAATTTTGCCTTTTTGTTTAGTTTTTTTGATTTTGTAATTTTTTAAAATATTCCTGTTGTCAAACCATTAGATAAATATTGGACATAGAATAGCTGATTTTTTTCAGATATTTTGGGAGTCATACATTAGTTTTTCAAGTCTTGAATGGGAGACAAATTACACACATTGAGCTAAACTTCCACTTCCATTTCTGGTGTTTTAGCTTATAGTTTTAGAAAAACAATATATATATATATGTAAATGTGGGGGTAGAGTCTACCTTGGCATAAAGTGCTCAATGCTGTGGTAGCAGAGCTAAGTATACATAAGTTAAAGAATTAAAGAGGACACATCAATTCTCTGTGACTCTGAATTTTGCACCTAAGCGCTTGTCAAACAGAACTTTTCTGTCTGACAAGTGCTTAGGCACAAAACTCAGTCACAGAGAATTGATGTGTCCTCTTTAATTCTTTAACTTAAGTGTGTATATATATATTCTTTTTTTTTTCTGGCTACAGGCACTTTTTGCACTTTGGCTTGATTTTAATGTGGTTGTAAAACTTGTTTTTATTGCATAGAGTAGCTGATGTTGATTCAGCAATCAGAGATTATGTCCAGCACAAATTTTAATTGTTGGAGATCTTCAATACATCAATCACCTAAATATAGTAACAGAGGGAAGTGTAATTTGTCACTTCTCACATGAAAAGATTCTTGATGCTCTCATTGGGTTACTTGGCTCATTTATACTTTCTTACAATCGGTCAAAGGCAATTTTGACTTTTTTTAGAGCAAGCATTGCTTGAAATTGGGCACAGGCAGACTCTTGTCACTGTTTCCTCTATTTTCAATGACTTGGCAAATGCCTGCAGTAGTACTTGCTGATAGTTTATATTTTGATAATATCTAAAGTAGCAATATGAGTGCATGTATTCTCACATCCACTGGAAGAATACTCTTTGCTGATCTAAGGCTCTTTGTTTTTCATATGCACAAATCAAACAAGATCTATATTCTTGTGCAGGAACTGGACCATTTGTTGCCTCTGTCTTATTTTGATAATTTTCTGTACTTTAAATCAGTCTTAATTATAAGCTGCTTTACATTACCACATTTGCTAAGTCATTGAAAAGGGAAGCTTTACTCACAAGTGTCTCTTGGGTGTAATTTCTTGCAATGCTTGCACTGTTAAGAAATATACTGATTTAGGGAAGAGATCTATTTTAGAAAATGGTTGAATTAATGTTAAATATGTATGTATGTTATATTCTTTCACATGATGTTTCAAAGTTTGTCTGTTTTATACCACAATTAAGATTCTTAATAACTGTTAAATCAGGTAGCATAAAAGGTTTTTACAATAAACAATATCTAGAACCTAATAAATGAGTGTTTGAAAGATAAAGTGTGTGGTATATTTTCATTATTTGAATGTAAGGGGAAAAATCAGCATGGAGAGGAAAGAGCCCTCTACTTCTGAAGTGGCCCACATTGGAGCTGAATTGGCTCTTTTTAAAGGGGCCATTTGTGAGAGGGCTGAAATTTTGGGGGCTGTTTTGGCCCCTATAAATTTCAAAGTGGCCCCTGTATTTTTCAAATTCACCCTTCACATGGTCCAATTTGGCCCCTACAACAGGGTCAATTCAGCCCCAAAATTGGTGCCAAAAACAGCCCCATTTCAATGGGGCTGAATTGACCCTAAGCGAGTGCCAAACTGGCCCCACTTTTGGGGCCAAATCAACTCTTTTAATTTTACAGTGTAGGGCTTCGATCGCACCTTCTCTATTAAAGTTGGTTAGATCTTTATTATATCTTACTGGACAACTGAACCACCCAGTTATTTAAGTAGCACTGAAGCACATTGCCGAGCACACTCAATGTTATACCTAATCCTTTAACTCCGAAGATCTCACTGGTAATTCTCTTTAATGTCTGACATACAATTCTTATAATGTCAGTTTGGAGAATTTGGTATTGAATCAACTAATAATCCCCTAATTGATATTTTCCTTTATTCTCACCACTTCTATGCTCGATATTGTATTGATGTTGTAAGGAGAAATTCTCGCTTGGTCACTCATGGGAGGAAAAGGCTTAAAGGCTTAAAACACTGGAAAACAGTGGTTCATGTTGTACATTCAATAATTCCGTTATTTCTGATACTATCTAGGTTGTAATTTTTTTTGTTGAGACAAACTCCTCTTTACCATATCTCAAAGGACAAAATCTGACCGTTGTTTAGACTTAAGTTTCTGCCAATCATTTCCTCACTTCAGTTCTCCGTGATTAAAAAAGCGCAGCTACAAATCTGGATTAAAAAGGCTACCGTAGAGATCACCAGAGAACATAACGTTGCAATTTTGGGCACGAAAGTTTATTTGTATTACGACTTTCTCCAAGCAAAGGTGTGAGTGGGAACCTGCGAAACCTGTGTGGGAATAAACCAACGTCTAGGGAAGGTAACTCCCAAAACAGTTAGAAGTTGCTGACGCTTTTTGACAGGTATGATTAATGAAGTACAGTTATGCCTAACACCCCTACAATCACATGTGTAAATGATAGGTTTGCAACTATAAAATTCTCCCCTTTGGAGCATACACCAACAGCATTGTCAAAGGAGTACTCATGATCAGGCACATGGATAAAATGGCATAGACGTCGTCATAATACTCAAATCCTTTCAATGTCAGCGACACAACGGCATCGATGATGGATATTCAGGGCAGTCATAGTGATATTGCGTGATAGGTTGTCTCTCTTTGCTACTTTCGCCTTATCATTAGACATTTCTCATTTAAATACCATAATTTATGCATAAAAGAGAAAGAAAATAATTAAAATAAAAAAAAACAATTGTGAAGATATGCGTTATTGAGATTTGTCGCAGAAGAGCGCATTTGGAACAGCCATTGTCTGGTGACCCATAGTTATTTGTATTCCTGAACTAGGGTTCAACAAAACAGTTTTATTCCCTTTTAAATTCACGAGTTGGCTCACCGAAGCCCTTTGATCATCAGTGTTATTCAGTCAGAGGAATAGACTGAGAAGAGGAAACAAATAAAGATCGTGTTTCAGCTGTGACAAAATAGGTTTATAGGGATGCATCAAGAAAGGTCAGTGTTAGGCTGCTTGCTTTTGTTGCATGGTATTTTATTTGTTTTCGGTCGCGCAATGCGTCCTGGCTGTCAAGTCGTAAGTGCAGTACACCGAAAAAATCCCTAAAACTCCACAAACTCGAGTTCTTTCTGTGTGCCCTGATGAAACATTTCCAAAATATCGAAAGAAACTTGACTTTTACAAGGAAATGTACAGACAACGAAGAGCGGAATGAAATACCTGAAGAGTGTCTCGAAGTGTCACTGTCTGATTCTAACGAGTAGCACAGCGACAGGGGCTTATTCATCTTAGACCTGATTAATTATTAATACATTTCCCAGAAACTTTTGCGTGTCTTTTACCAAGTATGTTGAAGTTGTTGAAAATTCCGCCATCATGAGTATGCTACCAGCGAAAGTCACTGTATAATTAATTGATAGCGATAGCTACATGTACACAGTCTTGATCGGAGACTTTTATAGCGGAGGTTTCAAGGTGAGAATAGTTTGTGGTTGCTATATCGTTAATTTTGTTCACAAACGCGATCGTTTTTCTTATCCTACGCCAGATCAAAAGATTTGTGGTAACACGCATGATCAGTCTCTTAACAGTTCTGATATCGAAACTAAACCCACTTCTTGAGTCGAATTTGGCCGAAGCGGACAGATGCATTGCCAACTGAACAAAATTTGTCCCGGGTAAAAATTAGGCAAAATCGACTAATACTGAAACAAAACCGCGATAAACCGTTGTCAATCATTTGTCGTATAAGCCACGACTAGCGTGTAATTCAACTGGAATTTGGTTTCTAGAAAGGCAAAAATTGTCTTTTGGTGCAAAACTCGGGGATCGATTGTATAATTTAAAGAAACATTGGAAGTGGAATCCTTCGGCAACTATGCTGGCCGGTCTTATGAACAGATCGGGCGCTGACGGAATTTGTTGGCTTTGAAATTTTTAATGCGGATGCAAGAGACGTACCAAAAATTTGTCTTGACGAAACTTTTCTTTGATTTTGTCGGGTCAATTCCAGTTTTGTCTGCTAGTACGGAAAGGCCTTAAGACCAAAGCTTTCAAAAATGTCAAACCATCAAAATTCACAATCTGCAATAGTTTACAAACTTAAATAGTTCGGCAGGTCGAATTTAACACGTTTGCCTGAATCTGAAAGTAAAATGTTCAGTGAAATCCGGCCGAAATGTGGCTCATAAAAACAAGCAAGGGTTTCATGTAACGATAACAAACTGCTCAAGGCGTGTGTTTTATGAATAAACGACAGCCGAATTCATGAGCACATGAAGGTTGCTGAGGATGACTGCGCCGTAAAACTAGCCTGCTGTGACTGATGTGGCCTTCCACTCAACGTATCGGAAAGGGTATCAAAGCAAGCTCTTTGTTCACTCGAAGAGCGGTCGATGTAATTTCTGAGGCTTTCTTCCGTGCGATGACCGGAGATCGCGATGATGAGCTAGCCGCTCTGACACCGTCATGATTAGTATGCATTTTAACAGTTATGCCAGTTTGGCTATATTTTTCATATCATTCTTGTTTCGTTCTGCATTTTTTTTGAACATGAAAATATATATGCTATACGAGTGTTAGCTGAGTTTGATTTTTATTACCGTACGTCAGCTTGCAATATATCTGAGCTTGAAAACCTTCAATATTAGGACTGCCCATTTCGTTTTGTCTCTGGATTTTCGTCCCTGCTCACTTTATAATAACGTAAATTACAGCGCTTAGCATGTTTACAAACCCTTGTTTGGTTATTCTGTTGTTACTTGCCGGCTTACTTGTTCCGAAATGTTTCTTTCAATTAATGAAAAAAAAAAAAATTAGAGAGAAGTCCCGGAAAAGGTCGAACATAGTACAATTTAACAAATGGCTTGACAGCTTTAGCTCAGCTCTATGTTTTAGTTCAGATCTATGCTTTGTACTCTGATAGAGCACTCTCTTTCAACCCCTGGCAGCGAGCGTTATCAAGCGAGTCGATTGATTGTTCGTTAGGTCTGGCGATAGCTTATATTTACTCTGATCAGTAACGTGCAAATTTCGTGATCACACGACACTATGAGTCCAATCCCAAGTGTTATTTATCTTCTTGCATCGTACGCCATTTCTTTATTTTCGTTCGCACGGCCTCTAGTCACCATTTAGAAAAATATTACACCTAATGACCAACCGCTGTGTGCGGAGACTCAAATCGAATCGCCCCTCTGAGGAACTCAAAATGTCTTAAACAAGGACTGAGGTGCATAGTTTTATCTTTTCGAAGCTGATCCGCAAACTTTTTGACAACCATGCTATGTTAAAGCAGAGGTTTAAGTTCCTTTATTCCCTCACCAAAACTACATATATGTTATGTATGTGTGACACTTGTGTAGTTGTTATATATTTCTATGATAAATGTTGCATTTATGTGACATTTGTGCGACATGATTGCACATACATGTGACATATACAGTATATGTTGGATATGTTATTATGTAAGGACTGTATGTGACCAGTATTTAGTTTTGGTAAGGGTTCACAGCCAGCTGGTTGCAATTTCACATTCTCTTCACATAGTATGTATTTTCAGTTTTCTATGTATTGCAAGGTGTATATGCATACGATTTAGGGCCAACATCTTCAAAATTTTCTCTTCAGAAATAAATAAATGCTACTTATATACAGAAATGAATTGATGCCTGCAGTTGTATTAAACTTTAATTAAATGGACAGTATTATATTCTGGTGGCCAATTATTTTGTCCTGGCAAAAAGATTGTAAATTCAGTTATATGTTAATACTTTGCCTAGGGTCATTTCTTAGTATTGCACATTTTCAATGTGTATAATTTCACATGTAACTATGGTGTATGCTTCATAAGAATGGTGCCTTTCTTCTCCATGGGAGCTCACCAGAAAAGTAAATTGTCATTTTCTTACGAATGAGTTTGGGAACCTACAGTGTGCCATTTTCTCCTTCTTGAAATTGGGAAATCATTTTCTCTCTGTCAAACAACTATAAACCAATTCTTAGTGTAGGAGAAGGAAAGAATTTGACAAATGCCATTTTAGCAAATTCTCACAAATATAACTGTCATGATATGAACTGGAATGATATGGATATCTAGAAGGTATTGTTGCTCATAAAAGACCATGGGACCTCCCTTTTTCGCTTCAAATTGTACTTTCCCTTAAGATCAGTAACCTTGAGAGAAAATTTTAGTAGGGACCGCGGGATTAAAGAACCCTTTCGGGAAGCCTCTGTAGAGGTATCAGACTTTGAAAGTACACCAAGCAAGGAGAAAATCTGTAGATTAAAGAAAACCTTAGGAAATATCATATTAAAACTTTGATCCCCAAAGAAAATACCTTCACGATGTTATACATACAAGTTGCTTACACTTCACCGGGGTAGACTATTATCCTGCACTGATCATGATATGATGTGACATGTTTACAAGTAAATCATTATCGACAGTAAGGGTCGGTAGCATTTTGCATGGATTCTGCACAGCCTGTACCATATTAGATGTCAGTTAGCATATCATAGAAACGACTATAAAAATTATTTCTATGAAATACATACCTCAATATCAAACGTTTCTTGGTAACAGATTTTCTGTAAAAAAAAAAAAATTAGTAAGGCTGCAAATATTATTTTTCGCTTTAAAAGGCCATATGCCAAACTGCATCACCATTTTGATGATGTTTGTTCTAACAAAACAAAAATGTGGTTTATTGTGACAGGTCAAGTCTCCCTTTGCTATTTTTCGCCCTATCATTAGACATTTCTCATTGAAATATCAATAATTTTGCATAAAGGGAAGGAAAGTGAAGAAATAAAAAACAATTGAGAAGATATGCATCATTGAGATTTGTCGCAGAAGAGCACATTTAGAACAGCTATTGTCTGGTGACCCATAGTTATTTATATTCCTGAACGAGGGTTTAACATAAAACAGTTTTCTTCACGAGTTGGCTCACCAAAGCCCTTTCATCATCAATGTTATTCAGTCAGAGGAATAAACTGAGTGGAGGAAACAAATAAAGTATGCGTGTTTCAGCCGTGACAAAATAGGTTAATAGGGATGCATCAAGAAAGGCCAGTGTTAGGCTGTATACCTTTGTTGCATCGTATTTCATTTTTCGGTCGCGCAGTGTGTCCTGGCTGTCAAGTCACTAGTCAGTAGTACACACGAAAGAAACTTTACTTTTACAAGGAAACGTACAGACAATGAAGTGCGAAATGAAATAGGAGTGTTACTGTCTGATTCCAACGATTGGCTTAGCGACAAGTGCTCATTAAACTGAAACCTGATTAATTATTTCCGGTAATACAATTCCCAGAAACATTTGCATGTCTTTTATCAAGTATGTTGAAGTTGTTGAAAATTCGGCCATTATGAAAATGCTACCAGCGAAAGTCACTGTATAATCAACTGATAGCGATAGCACAATGTACACAGTCTTGATCGGAGACGTTTAAAGGGAAGGTTTTAAGGTAAGTATAGTTTGTTGTTGCTATAGCTTAAATTTTGTTCACAAACGCAATCGTTCTTCTCAGACTACACTAGATCAAAAGATTTGTAGTAACACGCATGATCAGTCCCTTGACAGTACTGATACTGAAATTGATTGATACCTTTGTAAAGCGCGCAGGAAGAGGCTAGAGTACGAAATAAGTGTGGGAAGAAACACGATCGTGTTTCTTCCCACACTTCTTGAGTCGAATTTGGCCGAAGCGAACAAATATTCAGACGCACCGCCAACAAAATTTGTCCTGGGTAAAAATTATGCAAAATCGACCTAATAAACAAAACCGCAATAAACTTGTCAATTTTTGTTGTATAAGCTACGACAAACGTGTAATGGAACTGTAATCAGTTTGCTAAATCCTGGAAATTGGAAGTGGAATCCTTCGGCAACTGTGCTGGCCGGTCTTATGAACAGATCAGGCGCTGACGGAATTTGTCGGCTTTTTTTTAAATGCGGTTGCAACAGACGAAACATATGTCGTGACAAAGTTTGTCCTTTGATTTTGTTACAAAAATTCTAGTTTTGTCCGCTAGTAAGGAAAGGCCCTACGACTAAAGCTGTCATAAATGTCAAACCATCAAAGTTCACAATAATCTGCAATAGTTTACAAACTGAAATAGTATGGCAGGTCGAATTTAACTGTGTTTGAATTTTGTTACCGTTTGTAAGCTTGCTATTAAAAACCGCTGAGCGAGAAAACCTTAAAAACTCGGACTGTCCATTTCATTTTCATTTTCTTTTGAAAGACCCAACATTTCGACACTTCTGTCTAGTGCCTTTTTGAGGAGTGATCTAAACTTATGTATTTGTCATATATAAATATATGTGATAGATATTGTATTTATGTGACATATATGTAAAGATTGTGACATGATTGCAGATACATGTGACATATATGTGACATGTGACATACGGTATACGTTGGATATGTAATTTTATTGTTTTTTTAGAGGGCACGGTAACGAATCCTGCAATCTGATTGGTTCTTTACCCGGTCAGTATTTTCCTATCTCTGCCCACGGGCCACGGTAACGCTTTCGTGAGTCGCCGTGTACATCTCAACTTTCGTTGCCATTTTTCATAAATATACCTCGTTTTGCCCGCTGGGCAGTATTTTTAAGCAAACACATCGGTCACTACCTCAAGCCGACTTGAGAATCTTCTCTTTCTCTCTCTCAAATCAATTTAGTTGACAAAAAATATTGGTTTCAGAATGAATTTGTATAGGCAATGGTGTCATTACGTCGGTTGACAAGCGGCCTAAAAACCGTCTGCAATTGATTTTAATCATTCACAAAAAGTACTTAGAAAGTTAAAACGTGAGGTATTTGGTTACAGGTAAACTGAACAATGGAACTTTCATTCATTTAATGTCTGAATTTTCTCAAACAATTTGTTCGTAGTAAAAGAGCGAGCGAAGTTTTAATTTCAGTTCGACAATAAATATACGCTCTCGGTGAGTCTTTCAAAGTCCGTTCAATTTGGACATTTGGACCATAAATTGCACAACAGAAACTGAAGGAATTTATTGAGAAAAGGCCGCATTAAATCCCCTTGTGTCTCGTTGGAGTGTGCCGTTCGAATTCAGTTTTTGTGGAGGAAAGACCAGATTTACACACGCCGTTGCAGCAAACAAACGAGCAAACTCTCACAACTTCAAAATAAAAAATTTGAATTTACTCACAATTACTTTCCTCGCCGTTTACTTAATGAACAGAGGTAAATCTTCGTACATGAATGAATCGTCGATGAGAGTGAATAATACTTTCAGTTATATCATTGATTGTTTTTGAAGAAAACATTGTCGTGACAGTCCTTGCCAAACTAGTTCCGTTGTTTTTCAAATCTTCTTGCGCTTTTTTTTTCTTACGCGCTCTCTAATTGACAGGTGTCAGATTGTGACAGATAGTTTTAAAAATAATGTTTCCAACTTTGTTTGGAAGCCTTTTAAATCACCTTCATCGTTACGGAAATGAAAATGTTTCGCTGAGGCATCTCTCTTAAATTTGCATCACTTCTATTTTAACTACCATTTACTCACTCAAAAATTGTTCAGTTTATGGAAGATCTTGCCGTATTTACGGCCATAAATCATTCGGGTTCTTTCGGAAAGAATTTCGTCAAGTTTAAAAACAATAAATATGTTATTTACCGGCTAAGGGTCGGTCCGTATGGTGAAAAACTGTGACCTCGGTCTTGAAAATGCTGCCCTCGGCCTACGGCCTCGGGCAGTATTTTCAAGACCTCGGTCACAGTTTTTCACCATACGGACCTCCCAGCCGGCAAATAACATATATATCTAAGGAATATATGCAACATATATGTAGTATTGATAAGGGTTGACAGCCAGCTGGTTACAACTGGACGTTCTGTTCACATAATGTGTATTTTCAGTTTTCTATGTATTGCAAGGTGCATACGCATATGTTTTAGGGCCAATATCTTAAAAATTCTCTTTCCAGAATTAATTACAGCAACGAATTAATGCCTACAGTTGTATTAAACCTTGATAAAATGGGCGGTATGATATTCTGGAGGCTAATTATCGTGTCCAGGCAAAAAGATTGTAAATTTAATTACATGTTAATACTTTGCTCAGGGACATTCCTTAGTGTTGCATTGCACATCCTCACTGTGTATAATTTCAAATGTAACTATGGTGCATGCTTCCAAAAATGGTGCCTTTTTTTCTCCATCGGAGCTCACCAGAGAGGTAAATTGTCATTTTCTCGCAAATGAGCTTGGATACCTAACATTTTTCTCTTTCTTGGAACTGGGAAATTATTTTCTTTCTGTCAAACAACTATAAACCTATTCTTGGTGTAGAGAAAGGTAAAAATGTCAGAAATGCCAATTTAACAAATACTCACAAATGTAATTGTCATGATATCATAGGAATGATATGGATATCTAGAAGGTACTGCAGCTCATAAAAGAGCATGGGACCTCCCTTTTTTCATTTCAAATTTTACTTTCACTTAAGATCTACAGCCAACATGTACAGTTTGACAACAATCTAAGTGTATGTTTTACAGAAGGGCTTTGAGTCTTCAATGTATTTTATCAATTGCTCTGTATTTTTTTCTTTTACAGAAGCTGATTGGCATTGTTATAAGTTAGAATGGCAGCAAGCACTTTCAGAGACATTCGAGGTAATCCACTAAATATCAATATTAATCTTCCAAAGATAAGTGAGTGTTGCGCGTTATTTAAAAATAGGAGCCAAGTTCCTAGTGAAGAAGATTTAGAGTGGCTTTTGCACCGACTCGAAAAATGGAAGACATTCGGGCGTCTTCTCAAAATTGAGGAAGCAAGATTAACGGCGTTTGACGATAAAAATGTGGAATACTCTGAAAAAATTTACAAAATGTTACTACATTGGAGAGAGAGATTGGAGAGAGAGGAATGGCTCAGCTGCAACATACACGGTCCTACATGATGCACTGTGTCACCCATTGGTTAATCGCACAGATTTAGCTGAGCAACCTGGGGCATATTCGAAGTTACCTCAATTTATCACTAGTAATATATCACTAATCTAGCAATTCAATAATCTTGCACCCTCAACCTCATCTTCCCGCCCCCTGCCTTTATAAACTAAGAATGCGTGGATCCAGCAGAATGGCATGAATAGATGCAATACCTACTTCTCGCTATCCCCTCATCTTGATGCTTTTCTCTGATGTTTTTATGTTTTTAGTCAAGCAAGGAGTTCCCAGTGACGAAGAATTAGAGTGGCTTTCGCACCAACTCGAAAATTGGGAGGAACTCGGGCGTCGTCTCAAAATTGAGCAGGCAACATTAACGGCGTTTGACGATGACTATGGGAGAAAGCGTAAAAAAATCTACAAAATGTTACAACATTGGAAACAGAAGGATGGCTCAGATGCAACATACATGGTCCTACATGATGCACTGTGTCATCAGTTTGTTAATCGCGCAGATTTAGCTGAGAAACTTTGCCGTCAATAGCATTTATTGACTCACACATAGCTTTTATCTCTATTTTTACTGATTATTCCACTGTCAAATGAACAAGTATCCCTAGTATGGTTACACTATTACCATGTGAATTACTAAATCAGCTATCTTCCTTTTCCTCACGGGATCGTTTTTCTGTCTCTTACACACATGCATCTTTCTATTCTTTTAATGAAAAACGTCAAGTGTTAAAGAATATTGCTAATTATGACCCATCCATAACTTTTCGTGCAAATCTATTGACTACTTGACGTCACGCGGTACAAAATCACCGGATAAAACCACCATCTAAGTCGATATTTGTAATCCGATCATTTCCGTCTAAAAGAAACCAAAACAGCGGAAAAAAAGCCAGCTCTAGAGTTTCACTTTTTTATCTTTCTTATTGTACATGTGAGAAAAACGAAGTTATTTTGAAGAGTTCACTTGTAGTGATATTAAAAAGCTGATCACAAATGCTGGTCCGGAAAACTGAAAAAAATCAACAAAATTTTTGTCAAGGGTCAATACGGAAATTAATAGAAGGGTTATGAATTGAATAAACCCACTTTTGGCATGTTAGTATTTCGAGGGATAATTTCCTTGGCTGACATATTGTCTTGTAAATTTTACAATTTGTCCTCGAAGCTCCGCTTATCGGCCAAAAATTCAATTTCAGGCAATAGCTCAGTCGCAGACATGAACAGCCGACATACTAGCCGTCTAAAGACGTTTACTAAACATTCGGTGAGTTGCTCACCGAAGGCATACGGCATGTTACGCACTTGCATTACCACTGATATCTATGCGTAATGCACAGGCATTCTTCCTTCAATTGTTAGTTTTGACGCAGCTCTGAATTTGGAATTTCAGGCGCTTTTTTCAAAGAAGTTTGATGAAACCAAAATTCAGCGTGATGAGAATCTCACGCCGAGAACACGAATATATGCCATGTTTTGTAGTTGGTAATGAGATTTTACAATAGCTGTGAGTTTTTGTTGGTTCCTGTTAGTGCATTAGCTAATATACCGATTAAGAAATTGAGAGGAATGTCGAGCTGAGTCATTTTTTCTCAAAAAATTGTAAACTCACGAGGAAAAGACTCCGTTAATAGCTAGGCAAAGAAAAAACGTGGTTCCCTTACACTCGATTAGGCTTGGACAAAAGGCAAAGTTCTTGAAACAGTCAGCTTGCCTGATAATGATATACATTTGATATTGGAAGTTCATGATTGATTAATTGCCTACGATAATTTACGGTGTAGAATATTTGTCAACGAAACGTTTTCGTAATAATAAGTGAAAGGTTTGACATAACTAACGGCCTATAGAATGATTCTATGGCAAGGAAAAATTGTTTGGTAAAAACAAACGGTAGAGGTTTATGGTTTCATCAGGGCTTCCTTACTGCTTTTAGCTGGCATAGAAGAAAACAAAATGTCGATTTACCATTATTTCTTTTGTGTGTGTGTCTTTTGTTCTTTAGAAAAGTCTTTGAGCATCCTTGCTTCTGGATTGAGTAGTTTGGTTGGAGCCCAATGGTTGGCAATTGTACTGATTTTCCGGAATAGTTTTCTTGGGTAAAATTTCTTTCTACCAAGCTTTGAGCAGTAAAATCTTTATAAAGCGAACTGCTGGATAGAGAGTTATTGTCTATTCATAACAAAAAACTTGTATAGAGATTTTGTACTTCGAGTTTTATTTTTTGGCATAAAATTTTGCCCGACAGCTAAATAACAAAAGTTTTCTCAGAGCTTTGCTAAGCTTCGCAATATCTTTGATGGTTTGAAGTATTGAATATCACTTTTTTCAATCGAATGTTGCAGACCTGACGCATTTATGAAGCTATACAGGAAACCAATTCTCTGTCATGAGGCCACGGTTCTATAATGATATTGTCAAGGTGATAAAAAAAGTGAAAATCTAGTAAAAATAATTAGTGTCAATAAATCCACAGTATTTTCTCATTGAAAACTGAAATACTCTCAAAGATGGAATTTACACGTTGACACATGGCTGTTAGCGTTGTATGCGGGTGAGTATCCTTAAGTGTCATCACACTTTAACATCAGGAGTTCCCAAACTTAAGGCCTTCCCTTCCCATTCTTCCTCAGTAGCATGGACGTTTACCAGAAGAACTTTCAATGAAACTTAATTGTGTAATGTGGAACTTGACAGAAAAATCAGAGTAAATGAAAGAAAGCGAATGCAGGGCCATTGTAAAATTTTGAAATTTAATTTGCCTAAAGACTTTTTCAACCTACTTATGCCGTATCTACTGCGTTCTGCAGCCTAAACTTTAAATATAACAAACTGATATTACTTAGAGATAAGCAATGTCATTTCAGCAACTGCATGCATGTTGAGTTCCACAGTCGGCAACATCAAATTAGGGAGGGGAGGCGTCCCAAAGGAACTTAGTTTTTTCAATTTAATTTTTGTCAATTGTTAGTTATCAGGAATACGTACTTTGCAGAAAATAACAGGAGGAAAAATAAGTAAGGGAATACAATCCTTGGAAATACTGAATAAAACTGGTACATAAGCTGAAAAAGAATGTCTAGAGAGAGTATAGTGGTGAGACTAAAACGAATCATAATATTTGGTATATTCGGTTGAGAGGCTGCCAGAAACCACAAGGCTCTTACAGAGAGCCACTCGCTTTACATTTTAACCTCTTAAATGAAGAGTGGGACTTTATACCATCAGTATTTCGCACATGAACTCTTACTTAAGTGTGTATCAATAGAACGTTAGCAGAGGTATAATTTTGGTTAATTCATGAATCAACATATCAATCAAGCAGGGAGGGGAACAATCTGTTGATAAACCACCAAGCTACCGATCATTTAATCGATCGATCGATCGATCGATCCGGTGCGACAATCTAGAGATACAGTATGTAACGTAACTTATGGAAAAATGCTTTTAGCGCGTAATCTTTACCACTAATTATCAAGAACAATGATCCGATTGGCGAATCTAATAGCTTTGAATTACAAAAAAGAAAAGGCTTAACAGATGCTTTTGACTCTAAGAAAACTTCACGGCTGATAAACATTAAATAAACAGTTAATAAAAGTCATTGCAAGCGCAGTGGTAACTTATCTGAGGTCATGAGCTCCACGCCTGTGTTAAGAACAAAAGAAGAAGAAGAAGAAGCTATCAATGCTGTGGGCGATCAAATATTTTTGAAAATGCGATCCTGGAGGGAAACTCCTACTCTTTTCATAGTTTAAAAGGTATAGCTCTGATGATTCGCCTTCAGTAATGTCAGCTGAATGTTCATCTTTATGAATTTACCCAATCATTTCCATAATCGAATACGGTGAAACCTGTATCTGTGTTCATTTTCTTAAGGTTAATTCATTGCTGAACCTTAAATAGAACGAGGTGAGTAATCTGGAACCTATTGCTTGAGGTAAACATACCTTAATAAGCAATATGTAAATGCAAGTTACTTTAAAAGAAAAACTGCGAGAAAATTCAGGACTTGCGTCAGGGTCCACTCTAGACAGGGTATCATTTGTGACTAGCCTTTGGAGGAAAACGCCTCATAAAAGAATGCGAACATCATTTCAAGCCGAAGCTCTCAAAGTTTATTATAAAGGGCTACCTTGAATTGAAAAAGAAATTCCTAGCCAATATGAAGGATGAAATTCTAGATTTTTCCTTTACCTTCTTTTAACCTCAACAGCTGCCAGATGCCCCTGACACATTCAAACGTTTGATCACGACCTCGCACGTATAGGAGTCCAGTGCCACTGCCATTGCCTTATCTGTTTCTTAGGGACTAAAGGGTGAAAGCCTTTAAGCACTGGAAAACAGTGAGACATGAAAAACTTTGAAGGAAGCAGTTTTATGCTTGTTTTACCTGCACATTCTGATGCACTTAAGTCTGTTTGTGTTACTGTACATTTAAACTTTTGCCCCATCATCAGGTTAACAGCTCGATCCTCTAGGCGGTTACCTCGTCCTTAGTGTAAAACTGGTAAATCTGCAACAAACGCAAGAATCTTTTTATTCAATAACTCTTTGTTTCGGATACTATTTACGGTGTGTTTTTTTGTTGAGACACACTCCTCTTTACGATGTTATAAAGGACAAAATCTGACTGTTGTTCAGACTTTTGATTCTGCCAATCATTTCCTCACTTCAGTTCTCGTGGTTAAAACAACTCAGTTACAAATCTGGGTTGAAAAGGCTACCTTAGAGATCACCAGAGAACATAACTTTTGCAATTTTGGGCACGAAAGTTTATTCTTATTACGACTTTCTCCAAGCAAGGGTGTGAGTGGGAACCAGCGAAACCTGTTCGGGAATAAACTAACATCTAGGGAAGGTAACTCTCAGAACAATCAAAAATTGCTTACGCCTTTTGATAGGATATGATGAGTGAAATACAGTTAAGCCAAACACTCCTATAATCACAAGTGTAAATAATAGGTTTCCAAACAAAAAATTCTCACCTTTGGAGCAAACACTGACAGCATCGTCAAAGAAGTGCTCATGATCAGGCACATGGATAAAATGGCCGACATTCCGATGTACTTTGAGTCATTCAGGGCAGGTATAGTGACATTGCGTGTCTCCCGAACCGAAAAATCCCGAGCAACAGCAACGACCCTTGATATGTAAACACGACCGCAAAAAAAAAAGATACGCTTTGTATCTTCAAGTGCATTGGTACAATGCTTGGATAATAACAAGGTGAGGTCTCTTTATCAGAAACTTGACAGCGACTTAAGGCAATAGGCCAAAGGAGACAATAGCTTATGCTCAAACTTGGCTTACATCTATGAATTGGTATGGATAGTTTTTTTTTTGTTCAGCGTACGATGATCTTTCTGTTTTATACTGTTCGCTCTAACTCCTTCACCTGACCGTTACCACGGTTTAAGGAAAAGGTTCAGTTTGTATACTGCATAGATTTACTGCTCAAAGGAACAAGAAAATAAACGACATACCACGGCCCACGACCGTTTATTTTTTACCATTACTTAAAGCAATTTTCAGTATGCAATTTTAACCATAGTTCTCGGTCGAGAAAAAAAAAAATTTTTTCTAGTTTAGCGGACGTTGAGAAATGTTTTAGGAATGAAAAAAGGTAACATGAGAAGCGTTGCAGAATCAATGTCAGTATCTGAGCAACTGTACCTACCCCTCAACAAACCCAAAAACAGTCAACTGATGACAAGTAAGGCCGGTTAATGTTGTTTTAGTGGAGGGGTAGGTGCGTAGTTGTTCAGATACTGACATTGATCTGCGTTTCATTACACTGACAGCGACATTTTAAAGAGATGAAGGAACATCCTGCTCAACTTAGCACAAGGAGGAAGTATTATGAAGGTATCTCCTCCGAGAGAGCAGCGAGAGAAGCTGAGGCTGAAGAAACAGAGAGGTTAGGGTCAATCAAGTTTTTTTCTTAATTGAGAGCCCAGATTACCAAGCTAGATACCTTTCAGGCAGGAGGAAGAGTAATACACTGGAGAGAAGCGAGAGAAGCTGAGGCTAAAGAAATAAAAAGGTTAAGGGTCAGTTTTTTTCTTAGTTGAGAGGCCAGATTACCAAGCTAGATATCTTTCAGGCAGGAGGAAGAGTAATACACTTTGAAGAAAGTGCATCATTGAGATTTGTCGCAGCAGAGCACATTTGGAACAGCTATTGTTCGGTGACCCATAGTATTTTGTATTCCTGAACTAGGGTTTAACATAAAACAGTTTTATTTCCTTTTAAATTCACTAGTTGGCCCACCGAGTCCTTTGATCATCAGTGTTATTCAGTCAGCGGAATAGACTGAGAATAGGAAACGAATAAAGTATGTATGTTTCAGCTGTGTTAAAATAGGTTTATATGGATGCATAAAAAAAGGTCAGTGCTATATACCTTTGTATAAAGAAACCTAAAACTCTACAAACTCGAGTTCTCCAGAATATCGAAAGAAACTTTACTTTTACAAGGAAACGTACAGACAACGAAGAGCGGAATGAAATAGGAGTGTCATCAAGTACGTTGAATTTGTTGAAAAATATAATCAGCCCGCAGAGCAGGCGTAATTTTGGCGAGCGAGTGCTCAGTAACTTCTTAATTAACGAAAACTATGGCCGCCATCTTTGATTTTTAATGAAAGCGAAAGGCTGGGGAGAGAAAGAAATTTGTACCAAGGGGGCGGTCGACGGTCAAAAATAAGGAGAGAGGTGGGGGTAGGGAAGTGAAGAGTTCGCCTTTCCCCCGCCCCCTACCCTCACCGTCCACTTTGACTCCAAATAAAACATGGCTGGTCGGAGAAATGATCTCGAGCTTATAACGTTAGCTGCACTGCAGGCTTCTGTATAATCAATTGATAGCGATAGCTACTTGTGTAAAATCTTGATGAGAGACGTTTATAGCGGAAGTTTCAAGGTAAGAATAGTTTGTTGTTGCTACAGGATAAATTTTGTTCACAAACGCGATCGTTCTTTCTTCTTAGACTACGCCAGATCAAAAGATTTGTGGTAACACTCATGATCAGTCCTTTAACAGTACTGATATCGAAAGTAAATGATACTTAGCAAATAGAGAAGCCTTGACTATGCTTTTTTCTGTTGTAAAGTACGAAGGAAGCGGCTAGAGCACGAAAGAAGTGTAAGCAGAAACACGATCGTGTTTCTCTCCACTTCTAGAGTCGAATTTGGCCGAAGCGGACAAGTCTTTAAAAGACACATCGCTAACAAAATTTATTCCGGGTAAAAGTAAGGCAAAATCGTTTTAATAAACAAAACTGTTATGTGTCATGTTATCTCCCTGTCGCCCTCCACTAAGATGTGTAGATAAGTCGATGTGTAGTCAGAAACACGATCGTGTTTCTCCCTACTTCTTTGGTCGAATTAGGCTGAAGCTGACATAAATCTTCAAATGCAAGCCAATAAAATTTGTCCTGGGTAAAAAAATAAACCTAGTAAACAAAACCATGACAAAGTTCTCAATCATTTGTTGTATAAGCTACAACAAGCGTGTAATTGAACCGTTATCAGTTTATTAAATCCTGGAAATTGAAAGTGGAATCCTTTGGCAACTATGCTGGATGGTCTTATGAACAGATCAAGTGCTGACAGAATTTGTGGGTTTTGAAGTTTTTAAATGTGAATGCAACAGAAAAAACAAAAATTTGTCCTTTAATTTTGTTGATGCAATTCTAGTTTTGTCTGCTAGTGTGAAAGGCCCCAAGACTGAGGCTGTCTGAAATGTCAAACCATCAAAATTCACAATAATCTGCAATTGTTTACAAACTGAAATAACTCAGGTGGTGGAATTTAAATGTGTTTGATTTTTATTACTGTACATAAGATTGCAATCTAACTGACAGTGAAAACCTTAATAACATAAACTATGGCACTTGTTATTTTTACAAACCCTTGTTTGGTTCTTACATTCTACAGTACTTGCTGCCTTGCTTACCGAAATTTCTCTTTCAGTTAATGAAAACAAACTGGAGAGAAGTCCTGCAAAAGGTTAAACATTCTGTAGTAAATTTGGCAGATAGTGTGACAGCTTTAGTTTAGCTCTATGCTTTGTACTCCAATAGTGCATGCTCTTTCAACCAATGACAGCACGCATTATATAATATATTATTACATTATATAATACTATATAATATAATTTAATGTGTACATATTAAAAGTGCGCCATTTTCATTATACATATTTGTTTTCATACAAATAATCAGTTCTGCTTGATACAATTGATAGCTGGGAGATGTTCAGACTCAGAGGTAAACTGTGACTTATTTCAATACTCTTTCACTCCCTCACTTGGTTTTTTTTTGTTTCTATGGATTCTTGTTGGTCAACTCTATTGCAAATAACTTAAGCCGCAAGTTGGGATTGTTATAGCTAAGATTTTAAAGTTTGGATCACATTTATTTGTCAATTGATTATTTGTTAGGTCTGGCGATAACTTCAAATTTATGTTACATGCAGGGTTCATGATCCAAAGATACTATGAGTCCAATCTATATATTACCTATTTTCCTGCATCATAGGCACCTTTTTTTTTCGTTTGCTTGGCCTTTAGTCATCATTTTGAAAAATCATACTTAATGACCAACCTCTGTTTGCAGAGACTCAAATCAAAATGCCCTTCTGAGAAACTTAAAATGTCCTAAACCAGGACTGAGGTGGTTTAATTTTTTTGAAGCTGATCTGCAAATTTTCTTACCACCAAGCTGTGACACTAATGTATCTGTTGCATATATGTATATATATATATACAACAAATATTACATTTATGTGACAGAAATGTGAAGATTGTGACATGATTGCGCATGTATGTGAGTCATATATGTGATGTGACATACAGTATATGTTGGATATGTAATTATGTAGAGGATATTTGTGATGTTCATGTAGTTTTGGTAAGGTTTCACAGCCAGCTGGTTGCAATTTCACATTCTGTGCACATAATATGTATTTTCAGTTTTCTATATATTGCAAGATGCATATGCATATGACCTAAGGCCAATATCTTCAAAATTTTCTTTCCAGAAGTATATTACTTATTTACAGTGTAATGAATTGATGCCTGCAGTTGTCTTAAACTGTGATTAAATGGGCAGTATGATATTCTGGCGGCTAATTATTTTGTCAAGGCAAAATAATTGTAAATTCAATTACATGTTAATGCTTTTCTCAGGGTCATTCCTTAGTGTTGCATTGTACATTTTCACTGTGTATAATTTCACATGTAACTATAGTGCATTCTTCATAAGAATGGTGCCTTTTTTCCTCCATCGGAGCCAATCAGAGAATAAATTGTCATTTTCTCACAAATGAGCTGGGAGACCTTCAGTGTAACATTATTTCTCTTTCTTGAAATTGAGAAATTATTTTCTTTCTGTCAAACAACTATAAACCAATTTTTAGTTAAGGAAAAGGAAAAAAAATCAGAAATGCCAATTTAGCAAATACTCACAAATGCAACTGTCATGATATGAATTGGAATGATATAAATTTCTAGAAGGTACTGCTGCTCATAAAAGAGCATGGGACTTCCCTTTTTTATTTCATATTTTACTTTCCCTTAAGATCAACAGCCAAAATATTCAGTTTGACAACAATCTCAGTGCTCTATGTTCTATGGAATGGCTCAAAGTCAATGTATTTTATTAATTGCTCTGTATTGTTTCTTTTACAGAAGCTGATTGGCATTGTTATAAGTTAGAGTAGAAGAAAGCACTTTGAGGAACATTGCTGGTCCACCAACAATTAATCATGATAAACTTTTGAGGTCATTTCCTGGAGCAGTTGCAATTCAATCAGAAAGATGGGTAAGATATCTTTTCCTTTTTTTTATGTTTAATTAAATCTGCTCAAAGAGATGGAGGTGGCATTGTAGCCGGGGAGACAGAATTGATACTTTTATAATAAAAATTTTGGTGGGTAAGTTTTCCTACTGGTGACAGAGATGCACTGGCAGATGATTGCTAGCATTCTGGAGTTAAGATAAAGAGGTCTGGGCTCTAGCTTTGGCTAAAGTCATTGTGTTACAGTCTTGGTGTAGGCCTAAAATCCTAAAAGGTGGCCTAAAAATCTATCTGTACATTCTCAAAAGTGTCTTTAAACCTCATTTCATCCCTTAAAATTACAAAATATTTTCTTAAAGTCCTGACTTATCTCCAATTTTTTTAGAAATAATCACATAATTTGGATAAAATGTGAGATTCCAGTGGTGAAATTGCATGGTAACAACTTCAAACTGACTCAAAATGATCATTTATTCATGAGACAATCTAAGTGGTTTGTCTCCTTACAGTTGGAATGTTTCTTTCAAACAATCAATAACAACAACCGCTGATTGGTAATATTTGTATGGAAGGAGCCTGTTTGCAAAAACTTCAATGAACCATGCAATTTTTTATGCTATTGGCTGTATTTGTTTTTTAACACCATCTTGACTTTCTGCTGATTAGCCAAGCTTTTAAACCAAGATCTTGTAGAACTTTTCATCTGACACAGGCAAAGGTAAAATACCCCAGGGTTTCACTAGGGCATGTTGAGGCTTGGAATTGATTGGTGCATTAAAATCCAAACAGAACTACGCCTTTTGAAATGGCTACATTTGATTCACATTTCTTAAGAGTATTAAGAGTAATCCTATAATAAACTCCTGTTAGAAATGGATGCAAACCCTTAGGAATTTGCAATTTGTGTTGAAGCAAATTTGTTGTTTTATAGATGAATTTTTGTTGGTTAAAGTTTAATGAATTGTCTCTGTAGCACATATTCTTAAAGTGGAGTTGGCTCACCTAGTTATCAATGGTATTTCAGGGTATGCAGATGGAACTGAAGCAAACCAAAGCTGAAAAACATTTCCAAGAGCATGGCAGCCTCTGTCGTTGACAACATTCCAAAGAGCTACCATGATTTTAAAGATAGGCCACATTATGAAGGTAAAACAGATCAGCATTAATTTTTTTTAATACACCTGGATATTATTCTCCCCAAATATTCTTCCCACCCCCACCCTCCTAGTGGGGGTGGGAAGAATCACTGCTTAGTTGGATTTTTACATGGTTTTCGGAGGAGTCTATTCTGGAGCGGGATTGTAGAAACACTCTTTCGGAAATCAAATAAAAATGCAGCTAAGCCAAGAGAAATTACTGAGAAATATCTTCTTGAAGTCCTTGTAACACTAGGCTTTTCACAGTTGCTACATGAGATGACTTTTATGTGCTCACTGAACATTAATTCTGCATGTGTTTAGATTTTCGAGGGAGCAAATTAATGGGTTTTGTTTTTTAACTTTTTTGAGCTGCTACAGATCCAATCCCCGACTACATACAGGCGAGGGGACCGGTGGCACTAGAAGCGTACAGGAGAGCACTGGAGACAGGCGAAACCTACGATAGACGTACCAAAATTGTGTTGATTGGTCAGGACCGTGTGGGCAAAACAAGTCTGAGAAGGTACCTCAGAGGTGAAGCATTTGATAAAGATGAAGCCAGCACTAATGGGATTGAAATGATTTCCCCTGTCAAGAACGCAGGAAAAGGGGCATGGAGGAATCCAGAACTGCTTGAAGACACAAGTGCACTTGACCACAAGTGCGCAGAAGTGGTCGCACAGGAGTTACTCGGCAGCTTTAGAGAACGATCAGATAGGGCTCAACAGTTAACTGGAGAAGGTAAGAAGACGAGAGGCTCAGAAATAGGTGATGTTCTGGATGAAAAGAAAATAAAACATATGCCTAGGTAGAAAACAATTAAAAAACAATAGGGAAATGCGAAACAAAAAGGAAGACGGAAAAAAAGATATTGCTAGCGCCTGGAGTCGATCGCTCGACCTTTCACGTGTAGGGATGAGCACTTTCCATAGCGCCAGTTTTGTAACGTCAACATGTCATTTTGAATGCGTTAAGCTCGTAAGGTTTCTGCCCATGCACTCGCGTGAAACCATGCGATATTAGAAGGCTTTTTTTTGGCACTGGTCGCTGAAGGAGTGAGCGAGTGTTTATTTCGAGTGAGGCGAAGCTTTTGTATATTTCTAGTTCTTATACACAAAGTAAAAATTCAGTCACTAATGTTAGCATTACTATTGCCTTGCACAACCGGTCCTGGGTCATACTAAGCTTAACTGGTATTCTTCTGTATGTTGTTGCACTTGAACAGCGTGTTTAAGAAACGTAATAACTGATTAAAAATATCAATTTTAGTTTTCCAGGAAGTCAAAAGTGAGCAAAAACCAGAAGAAGTACCCACGAAAGTTCTTTCCCTCGTAGAGCGTGGCCTCAAGGGAAACGACACCTCGGACAATGAGGATATATGGCCTTTTGTTTGGGATTTCGCCGGCCAGGCAGTATACCATGCCATTCATCCAATTTTCCTATCGCAAGAAGCCATATATGTCCTAGTGTCAGATCTTACTATGGAGCTAAGTGCTCCTGCCCAATGTCGGATAAGACCGCCTAATCACGATGAAATAGTGGTAAACTCGCCTTACGTCGCGGACACTAATCTCGATCACATGATGAGATGGCTGGACTTGGTGCACTCTTTGGGACAGCCAGAGTTCCAGAGAAAGTCGGCGGATACTAACGAAGTTTTGCCTCCTGTGGTGCTTGTGGGTACACATGCTGATGGTGTAAGGGATCCTTGCAAGGAAATGGAATCTATAAATGAAACCATTTGCAGCATGGCTCATTCAGCAACCTTAGGCCATATTTCAAAAGAATTATTCTTCATAGATAACGCAAATCCAAACAGAGAAGACGACCCACAGATCGTTTCTTTGCGTGCGGAATTATTGAATCTGGCCAGAAAAATGCCACATATCAACAAAGTAATCCCTATGCAGTGGCTCCGTGTGGAACAAAAAGTCGACGAAATGGTGGAAAAAGGGATGCATTATGTTGGTAAGAAGCGTTTTGCAGAGGACTTTTCTGGAGGCATTTGCCAGTTTAATGGCCCAGATGACGTCGAAGAATTGCTACACTTTTTACAAGCTCGCGGAAGAGTTATCTACCAAGATCTCCCTGAAAATGAAGATGGTTTGGTCGTGCTGGATCCGCAGTGGTTAATTAAAATACTATGTGAGATAATTACGGTGAGTCCACCATGGAAAAACGATCCTGTTCTTCAGAAAGATTACCAAGTCCTCGGAAGAAAGGGACTGCTTTCGCAGCAGTTGCTAGATCGAGCGTTTGAACACCTTGAATTGAATCATATTAGGGATTCACTGATTTATATCATGGAAAGCTTTGATGTTATATGCAACTCTAAGAACTGCAAGGGGGAAGATTACCCTTATTTGGTTCCTTGTATGTTGGAATCACCAATGAAGAATACGAGAGGCACAAACATGCGCAATGGCCCTTTGTCCGTATTTCTCACATTTAACACCAACTACGTTCCAAGCGGGCTGTTTTGCAGACTGGTTGTACATTTTTGGGAATGGGCCTCACAATTATGTGGCTCCTGTATAGCCCCCTCGTTATTTTCAAACGCCGCTCGATTCAATGTCAGTAAAAAGTACCAGCTCACTTTAGAGTGTCACAAAACTGTGATCAAGTTGATAATCTGGACACCGCGAGATTCGGATAAAATTGAAGAGAAAAGAATTTGCGAAGAACTATTGAGGTAAGCCACGATCATGTCTGGCATTATTTCGTCTAATTTAAACTTTTTACTGTTTAAGCAATATTGAATGGAATACCAAAATCAAAGAAATAGATGAAATACTGTCACGTTGCTGTAAATGAAGGGAATCTTAAAGGCCTTCTTAATTTTCTTGACTTTTTAAATCGTTCTGATCCTTATGACAGATTTTTTGGATTGAGGACCCTTTTTTTGTGCCAATTTTTTCGATTAGGGTGGGATGCCTTCAGTACGATACAATGAGTCATGCTTGCGTTATTCGCGTTGTTGATGTCTTTGTTGCCATGTTTGTTCATTGCAGTCATCTGGAGCGTTGCAGGACAAGGCTAAGCGTCACCTGTCCGTGGCTACGATCAGTTACGATGGAATTGTTCGTGAAATGCCAGTTGTGTGAACCTTGTCCAGATAAGTGTCGTGCCAGAACCAATATTTGCATATTTCACAAAGAGGAAGGCTGCTCTCATTTTGACTGTGGCCACTATATTCCATTAAGAAGCTTTGGCCTGAGTTGTGAACACACTGTTGATGCTGTTCCCTATTATCGCGCAGAAAAACTGGAGCCTTGGGCTCAGGTAAGGAAAAAAAAACTTCTTTTAATTTATGTAAAGTGATTCAGGAGAATTTGAAACTCATGGTTGGCAGATAGCTCTGTCGCACGCAACACTTTCGTAGGATATTCGATTCCCTTCAAACCTGAATTTTTCCAGGCTTTATCTTTTACAAATACTTAAAAAGTTCTCCTAGCTGCAATGATCTTTCTCTAATCAATAAATTTTGTGTGATTACCACTATTTCCTTCTGCCTTTTAGGCTTTGGAATCCATTGAACGTAAGAAACTAACTGGTAAGTTTTTTCCATCAGCAAAAATTTTTTCGATAAATAGTTAAGTCAATATCAGTTTTCTGGAAAGCAACTTGCCCGCCTAGTAAAATGTAGAGATACAGGAAATACTGTGTGAAAGTAGAGGAGTTCGATTGTCACCAACCGCTTCTTGTGGGGAAAGCGGTGCATGAAATTTTAAAAGGAGACCAGAAAGCACAAAGTAGACTCCATGAAAGTGACCTCGTGGTCCAGCTCCTTGTTTCTCTGTGACAGTTATTTGTTGATATAAAATTGTTATTTTTATACTCACAGTTACCGTTGCAAACTTCCTTTTAACGACTTTGTCTTTCTACTCTGGCTATTTATTGAACTGAAAGGATAGTTTTTTCCAAGCTTTTTGCTCGAATTTTAAAATGACACTTGAATGGTAGGTCACCAAATTCGAAAAAAAAAAATTTACTCAGTTTGTGTACGTGGGCCTACTTATCACGTGTAAAATGAAATGGCCTTAAACGACGGAAAGACCTGAAACCTTTTTAGCAGATAAGGAAAATCGTCAAGGATGTGTACAAGCTTATCTGTTGACCGAAAATATCTGTTCCAATTGGCTTTCCTTAACATTTGTTAAGAATGCGATACAAGCGTGCAAGTGTCACAAGTGCCCTTGCAAGTTTTCATTTCTAGTGAATGTCTTTTATTTAACCCAAGTTGTTTATTGTATGGAAATGATTTTTTTCAAGCTTTTCGCTCGATGGCAAACAAGACATATAAATGGTAGGTCACCAAATCCGTTTACGTGGGCATGACAATTTTTCTTCCTAACAGAAAAAAGAGAACAAGAGATCATCCGTTCGCGTATGTGGACGTGCATATTTCGTGTAAAATGATGCACGGGAGGGATGCATAATGCAATGGCACGAACTGTCCTTGAAACAAATTCCTCAGGAGACGTTTTATTAGGAAAGGAAAAGCTCCATTGCTACAATGAATCTTTTGGCTCAAAAAATCTGATCTAATGATTGTTTTTTACATTTGTTGTCATACAGGTGGCCGCAATGAAGAGCCATCTCCGAGTGACGCAGGTAAAATGAGGACAGATCTATAGGCATGCCTGTTAACTCCCACCTCCCACCCCATCTTCCCGCCCCCTGCCTTTGTAAAATAAAAATGCGTGGATCCAGCAAAATGGTATGAATAGTTGCGATACGTTCTACACGCTATCCCCTCATCTTGATGCTTTTCTGTGATATCTTTATGTTTTTAGTCAAGCAAGGAGTTCCCAGTGACGAAGATTTAGAGTGGCTTTCGCACAAACTCGAAAATTGGGAGGAACTCGGGCGTCGTCTCGGAATTGACGATGCAACATTAACAGCGTTTGACGATGACTATAAGAAAAAGCGTAAAAAAATCTACAAAATGTTACGACATTGGAAAAAGAAGGATGGCTCAGCTGCAACGTACAAGGTCTTACATGATGCATTGTGTCATAAATTTGTTAAGCGCACAGATTTAGCTGAGGAACTTTGCCGTCAACAACATGAATGACTGTTTACTTTATTGACTCATAGATAGCTTTTATTTCTATTTTTACTGATTATTCCACTGTCAAATGAACATGTATTCCCAATATGGCTACACTATTACCAAGTGAAGTACTAAATCAATTATCTTCCTTTTCCTCATGGGATCGTTTTTCTGTCTATTATACACAGGTATCTTTCTATGTTTTGAATGAAAAACGTCAAGTGATAAAGTATATTGCTAGTTATAACCCACCCATCACTTTTCGTGCAACTCTATTGGTTACTTTACGACACGTGGTACATCGGGTAGTTTTAACAAAATAACCACCATTTACGTTCATATTTGTCCCCCGATTATTTCCGTCGAAAAGAAACAAAGTCAGTGGGAAAAAGCCGGTTTAGAGTTTCACTTTTTTATCTTTATTACTGAACATTTTGTAGAGTTCACTGGTAGTGATATTAAAAAGCTGATCTTAAATGCTGGTCCAGAAAGTAAAAAAAAGTCAACAAAATTTTTGCTGTCAACGCGCGATACGAAAATTAATGGGTGGGTTGTGAATTAAATAAACCCACTTCTGGTATGCTGGTATTTCAGGTAATAATTTCCTTGAGAGAGAGATTGTCTTGAAATTTTTACCGTTCGCCCTCGAAGCTTCGCTTGTCAACCAAAAAAACTCCATTTTCGGACATTAGCTCATTCGCAGACGTGATCAGCCGAGATACTAGTCGCCAGAAGAGGTTAACGTACCAAACATTCGCTGAGTTGCTCTATCAATACCATTGCAGTGTTGTCGAAGGCATACAGCATGTTACGCATTTGCATCACAAGTGATATCTATACGTAATGCACATGCATTCTTCCTCCTGTTGGTTTGACGCAGCACTGTATGAGAAATTTGACGCGCTTTTTTCCTTCTTAATCTGTAAAAGTAATCACATGATTTCGAGTGTAATTTGGAATATATAAGCACGGGGGAATTTTTTCATAGACTAACAAAATTGAAAACTGTATTTATCTTAACCAATCAGAACTGAGTTATTTTTTTCATGTATCTTGTGATTCGATCAAGAAATTGAGAAAAATGTCGAGTTGAGTCACTTTTTGGCAAAGAATTTGTGTAATCTCGAGGAAAAGACTCCGTAAATGGCTAGGCAACTAAAGGTTCCCTTATACTCGATTATGCTTGGCAAGAGGCAAAGTTCTTGAAACAGTCAGCTTGCCTGATAATGATATGCATTTGATATTGGAAGTTCATCTTTGGTTCATTGCCTACGATAATTTACGGTGTAGAATATTTGTCAACGAAACGTTTCCGTAAAAATAAATGAAAGTTTTGACATAACTAACGGCCTATAGAACTATTCTATAGCATGGAAAAAATGTTTGGTAAAAACAAATGGAAGAGGTTTATGATTTCATTAGGGCTTACTTACTGCTTTTAGCTGGAAGAAAAAAAAAATCGATTTGCCATTGGCAGTTATGCTGTTTTTCCGGAATAGTTGTTGTGGGTAAAATTTCTTTCTACCAAATAGTGAGAAGTAAAATCTTTATAAAGCGAACAGCTGGATAGGTAGTTATTGTCTATTCATAACAAAAAAGTTGCACTTCGAGTTTATTTTTTGGCATAAAATTGTGACCGACAGCTAAATAAAAAAAAAGTTTTTTCAGAACTTTCTTAAGTTTCGCAATATATTTGATAGTATAAAGTACTGAATATCACTTTTTTCAATCGAATGTTGCAGACCTGACGCATTTATGAAGCTATACAGGAAACCAATTCACTGTTATGAAACCGCGCTTCTATAATGATATTGCCAAGGTGTTAAAAAAGTGAAAATCTCGGGAAAAATAAGTCTCGATAAATCCACAGTATTGTCTCATTGAAAACTGAGATACTTGCAAAGATGAAGTTTACACGTTGGCACATGGCTGTTAGCGTTGTAGGCGGGTAAGTATAGTCAGGTGTCATCACCCTTTCATATCAGGAGCCTTGACAAAAATACTTTAACTTGAGTTTGAGTTCCTGGACTAAAGACCTTCGCTTCCCATTCTTCTCCAATAGCACGGACATTTGCCAGAAGAAACTTTCAATGAAACTTATTTTCACGATATGGAACTTGACAGAAAAATGAGAGTAAGTGAAAGAAAGCGAATGCAAGGCCATTGTAAAATTTGAGATTTATTTTGTCTAAAGATTTTTTTAATCTACTTATGTCGTATCTACTGTGTTCTGCAGCCTAAACTTTAAATATAACAAACTGATATTTCTTAGACATAAGCAATATTATTTCGGCAACTGCATGCAGGTTAAGATGGCCGGATCCTCTGGCTTTTGATTCAATCTGTCGAGGTGCAAGGGAGGAATATTAGGGGAATAATTAAAGGAGCTACGTCACGGAAATGGATAGTTGGTCTAAACTGCTCTGAAATTATTGGTAGACTACTTAACCCAGAAAAACATCCAGAGAAAAATAATAAAAAATAAATAAATTTGCGGAAAGAAATAAGACCCCTACTATTAATTTCGATTTTTTGATGGCCCGAGGAAACAACTTGAAAAGTTTAGCCTAAATTTTTCACGTTGTAATTCATTTCCATCCAAGCCATTCGCAGCCAAAGACGGTTGTAAGCTGTTTCAGTGCTCCGATATAGCAATTGTTAATAAAAATGGCAGTTATTTTCAGGTTTCCTACGACACCAATACATAATTTGGCTGTTTAAAAATTTGTTAAAATCCCTGACAAAGCCCCTTCAAGTTGTATAGTGTCTATCGCGTGTCCCCTTCGTGCAGAACGCTTACCCTTACAATGCAGTGCTTAAAATGTTTCAAAAATTGCTCATGGTGTAAAAAAAAATTGCTTCAGTGTGTGGCTGTAGCTGCAGCATTAGTTGTCTTGGAAGCAGCCATCATTTTTATTATTATTTATGGGCTAGCATACTTAGATAATCAGGAAATAATTACTGACCCTCATAAAATCCTATTGTTCTCTCTCAGCATTATATCGGCGATTTCAGCCTGAGAAAGTATTCATATTCAGTCAAGTCCAACTGTCTGAGGAAAACGGTGGCGGTCCTTTTTGGTAGCAGGGAAATTATCAGGGGTAATCCTAAACGCGCTAAAACGTTCAATATTGCAGTGGGCTGGCTGCACTGCAATATTTTTAATAATGCAGCCTGCTTCCAGCAATATTTTTAATATTGCTGCATGACTGTGGTATTTACTTCGTTACTTTTCCACTCAGTAATTTTTGAAAATTCGCGAATGTCCGCGCATAATTTATGATGAAGATCTGAAGTTAAAAAGTAAATGAATACACCATGAGAAGTACCATTCCAGGAGACGTACAGACGAAAACATTTTACAGTTTATTTAGGGCACATCTGACAATGACAGTCTTTCTCACTTGTAAGAAATAACAATTTTCGTACTGTGAGTACTAATTACAACTGACTGATTATAATCTTCGCTCTGGTTTTCGTCTAAAACCTTTTCGCTTAACCCCTGTAACCCTGTTTCTTCCCTTTGTCCATCATATTTTTGCTCAACATCATTGTTAAACAGTTTTTAATTTTTTTCCTTGACGTCTATTTCTGCCCTCTTAGGAGTCGCTCCCTGCAAGATTTCACTTGCTTTCCTTTTAAGTGTTGATGAGGTACACTTATACTCCCTAACCCCATCACATGATCGGTGACCAGTGGTTTCTACAATAACTTGTTCTGGCACACCACCTTCGTACAATCGTGTGGCGCAACTTCGTCGAAGGGCAACGGCAGCGGCATTTTCCGACCTCTGGCTCTGCGTTATGAAAATGGCAGATTCGTCTTCCGAAGAATCCTCCATCAAGCTTCAAAACAGTAGCAACTCTTTGCCTTCCAACAAACAACTCAAATAACCAAGTGCATTGCGTTAATATACAATGCAAATTACGTTTGCATGAAATTCAATCACACACCTGAAAGATGTGGAAAGTTACATAATCTTTACAAGGATTTAACAATGACTAAATTCCGGGAAATGAAAAGGGTTATGTAATTTGTATAACTACTAGACAATACGTGCTAATTGCATTGTTGGAGAGAGAAAATAGTAGGAATTCATGAGAGTCAATGATTATATCATCTTTGCAAGTAGTTAACAATGGCTGAATAGGGGAATGAAAAAGGATTATGCAATTTGTATTATTACTGGACAATGCTTGCCAGTTGCATTGTTGGTGTACCAAAACATCAATATGAAGGGGCGACTGAAATCGTCGATGTAATGCAGAGAGAGAACAATAGGATTTTATGAGGGTCAATAATTATAATAGTTAATTACTGAGGTTCGCAGCATTATTGGGTATAATGCTGCGAACCTCAGTAATTATCTATTAAATGGTGTTCAACCCTGATATTAATCCATCATCCAATAGCGACTGATTCACCTTGGGAATTACTGTGCTCTTGCGATGTTGTGCAAGACATTCCACGGTGCCTTCAATGAATTATTTGAGGTTTTAAATCCACGCAAAAAAAAATGGTTATTAGAAAATTGAACTTCTTTGTTTAAGCTCGACGTCATTACTTTGTCGGTAAAAAGAAACAAAAAACGAGCAAAAGCAACAGCCAAAATAAATAGACCTATAGGTAAGCTGAAAACATCTGACTTCTTTTAATTCTGACGACGTCGTGCAATTTTCTATGCTCGATGAAAAATTCCTTGCCGCCCTTGCCTCTCTGACACAAGTTGTATTATTTTCAGTCTTCAAAGGAATAAAAATTCAGTGAGATTACCTCAAACATTTTAACTACGGCACATTCATGCGAGTGTGCTGACTAATTCGTGCATTTTTCTCTTAAGTGAGGAATTTTATCACGGAACGAAGCTTTTCTGCAGTAGAGATGCCTAGAGGTCATTAACTATTTAACATTCGCTAAAAACCGAATAACTGCCTGTTTTATTATAACAAGCAAACTTAACTGAAGTTTGAACCCCTTACTTCCCCCGCTCATCTTTCTTTATATGCATATTTGGCGCTAAA